CCATTCGGCTCTTCGAGCCTGCCCCGCCATTCAATCATGGCTGATCTTCTAATCTAACTCCAGCTAATAACCTAACCCTGCCTTATCCCCAAGTCCCAATGTGGGGCTTGACCTACAAACTTCTGAGGCAAGAGTGCTACCGCAACAATGTGTTTGCAATGTTTTGCAGTAAATCTAAATAATTATTTTTTGTACTTTATGTAATTGAACCTTGGAATCATAATTTTATGCTCAGGTATGTTTCAGACTTTCCTGCATACGTAATTCATGTTTGGTCACATTTCTCTGTAAATTGAGCTTGAAATGTGCTGGAAATGTTTTTAAATTGTCAGAGCCACATTAAGGAAAGCTAAAGATATGGCTCCCCTGCTAACTATTTCAGTCATGTGAAGCCTTGATATAATGTAGAATTGAAACATATATTCCAAAGGGAAAGTACCTGAATCTGATCCAGATGGGTTTGCATCACAACAGGCAACAGTTAATTCTACTATCACATTGTTGGCAAGAAATAATGTTGATGACTATTATTGGTATTGCTCAGGGCTTAGTTTGAACTTTGTATAGTTAGTAATGTCATTTGTTTGGAGTCTCGCCATCTTACATTTTCTTCCTGTGTGGCACCTGCTGGTTTAATAAAAAAAAGTGCCAATAAGTTCTAGGATGTGATGAATCATTACTTCACATTGCACCCTGTAAGATGAGAGTGATATTTAAGAAGATGACTCAAATGTATTGACTGCAAGAATAGAATTTGAATAATCCAATACATGTTTACTTTCTTAGAGCCTTGATTTTCATTTTGGCAGTTTTTTTATTCTGTTAAACTCCACTGACATTTTCATTCCCTTGTATTTCCGCTATACTTTAATTGTTGGAATCCAATTTATAGGCAAAACTCCCAGTATGTTAAGGAGCAAAATGTTGATTACTAGTTTAAAATGTGAAACTTCTTGAGTTCTCAGAGGGCTTTGGGGAATTGAGGCATCTAATGCATCTCTATGAAAACTATTTTTAAACTATAATGTAAAATAATGCTGTGATGGATCAAAATGTTTTTCCTTATAAAATGTTAACATTATGGATATGAAGAACGACTTGGCAATTCACCAGAGCGTGGTCAGCACCCATGAAACTATACCACAACATGAGTTGAAGCCTTTGTGGGTGGACATAGAAGATATGTAAAAAGAATGTTCAGTCACCTGAACTAAATGCGACTTGGAGTCTTAATAAATATGTTACCAATGATTAGCTTTTTGAATGCTTTGTTCTGTTCTGTATTCAAGAGACTCCAGTCATGTTATGAAATCTGCCCTCCTGCACGGTTTATGAAAGTCAAGGAAATATGTTTTCATTTACACGATGGTGTAAATGTGGAGAGTGATTTCAGTCTATACAACAGATGTAGATTTTGGATAGCAGTTGGATTAGAACAGCTGTTGATTTTCATCTTTCCCAGCTGACAGCTCAGTTTCCATTGGAATAAAGCTTAAGTGTGTTTGTTCCTTCTCTACTTGATAATTATAGGTCTAATCGGAAAACGAATAAGAGTTTTAAGGGTAGGGGGAATGAACTGAAGAATCAGATGAAACCACAATATTGCAAGGAAACCGATATTACACAGTAAGGATTAAAATAGATGTGATAATTGGACAATTAGAATTAACTGCATATGTAGACATTAGTCACTAACACTTAACAGTAGTAGAATGCACATTGTCATGTCACTATCTTTAGTGTCATGAGGCATTTTTTAGCTGTAGGTGTGTGTGTTAAGCGTACACGAATGCTTAAATTCATTATAAATCACAAAATTAAATTGAACTTGTCATGCTTTTTAACTTTCCTCAATTAGATTATTTTTGGCTGCTTTTTGGATCAATTGGGTTGAGCAAGAGCTTTGATGAAATTAGATTTTGGTTTTCCAACACAGTGAATCGTGGCATCGAATTTGTATATTTATACATCTAATGCTGTGTGGTTCCAAAATCGGGAATGATTTTGAATATGGTTGAAGGGGATAAGTTTCCTTTGTAACTCCAAAGAAGAAGGTTGATTGTTTCTCTCTCCCTGGTCCTATCACATTTCTGAGAATTGTGCAATTCTCTTACTTTTTTTAGTGCAAGTAATACAACTAGAACACAACTGCAGTTTTTAATCTTGCAATGGATACAAATTCATGAATAATTTTGTATTCTGGGATTATCTTTGAAGTTCACAGCAATAATAACTTGCATAATTCAACTGTAAATTTTATAAATTTTAATGGAATGTATAATGAAATTCCTTTACAGCTTAGCTTGCTTTATCCAGATTTTCAATTGTTGTACGTGCACCATTTTTCCACAGTGAATATGAAAAAATATGTTAATAAAACAAAGTCACTTTCCCTTGTGGATAAATGCTTGATCAGAATACAAAAATCACAGTTGCCTTTTTTGTGTATTTCTCTATTTTCAAACATGCATACGTGTAAAGTTCACTTGGACACTATGTACTTGTTCCTGATCGGAGTACTTCATTCTGTGTTGCTGCATTTTATTAAATTGTTAGATTTGTGATAGCATAAGAGCAGAATTAAAGAACTCTATTCACTTATATACTCTCTTAAATCCAATGATCTGTTGCCACGTTTGCTTTCTGCTACTTGGAACATTTACAAATAAGTTCAGAAGTTAATTACAGGAAGAAAGTTACAATAATTTAATGCCAAAGCAATTCTCTGGCATGAACTCACTGGTGTGCATAGTGAGGCTGGAGAATTAATGGTATTGCAATGTTTACAGAGAGCTTTGTGTTTTCTTCAGTATAGCTTTTATCTTTTAGACCTGCTTGCTGTGCTAATGAATAATGTTTACTCACAGTAGGGTGACTGTTAAATATTAATTAGTAAAAGCTTATGTTTTCATTAAAGTAGAATCCTTGAAGTCTTATCTTTTTCTTTATTCTTCCTCATGAGATGTTTTATCTTAGCAGTAACACTATATATTACTCAGTCTTACCGATGTCACATGCCCCAATTTTGGCTTCAAGAGAGTGATGTCTCTGGAGTGGAAGTGGAAATGTATATTTTATGATCTGAAATAAAGTGCAATAGTCAATAAATTGAACAAATTGATCAAACTATTTGGACTTGATCGGATTTTTTCCCCATATTTTGTCCAATGGTCTTTTTTGGGTTTATCTTGTATCTTATCGCTCTAAAATAATCTAGCATGTAAATTAATACTTCCATTTGCTGTGGGCAAGTTATTTTCTTGGTACTATTGCGCTGCACTCTCCAAAGATGGATTAATTTGTCCAGCTGAATTTCGCTTGCATTTGACATGGAAAATTCATGCCAATGATTGATCCACTTGGGTCTATGACATGACCCTGTCAATATTCAGTTCCAGGCCTGATTGTGCACAGGAGACAGTTTTCAGCCAGTTAGAAGCTGATTATTTTGATGTGGCTTTCACTCTAAACTAGAAGGAATATGAAGAGAGAATAAGCGGTGAAAGGAAAAGGTGAAAATAAGTTAATAGTTTGTATTTATATTAAAAATATTTTTATGGTGGATTGCATTTTTGCAGAAAAAAAGCTATTTATTTAAACAAGGAGCCTTATTTGCAATATGAATTGAGTTTTAATTTTTTCTAAAAAACTGCTCCATTGATGTACCCTCTGGTGGTTTGTTTGCCTCAACCTTTTTGGCTTGATTCAAAATCCTAGCTGGTAATATTTGATTGATGTCAGCCTGGCTCAGTTGCTAGCACTTTCTCAAGTTAGAGGTGCTGCTATTCTTCTCTAACTGTTAGAGGTGCTATCCACATCTTAACAGTGTAGAGGAGATGCATTAAACCAAGGTCCCACCAGTGTGTTAATATGAACATTAAAGATCTCGTAGCACTATTTAAAAAAAAAGAGAATTTCTTTTGGTATCCTTTCCAGTAGGCTCCCGGATAAAAAAAATCATTCATATCAAGATTGTTTGTGGTATATTGTATGAAAAGTTAGCTGCCATGTTTGCCTACAAATATACAGTCGCTATATTAGATGCATTACATGCTTTTTGATGTTTTGATGTGATAAAACATTGTTTGAAATGCAAGGATTATGGCATGGTTTTGAGACGGGGATTCACAGCTAAGCCTGATTCTGATGTTACCTGTGGTCCACACACAGTTTTTATTAAATGAAAGGAAAACATAGCTGCACAAATATTTATTTTAAAACGTTTAAAAACAAAATTTTCTATGTTCAATTACTGTGTGAGCACATTTTTGTTGGATCACTTATTTGATGAGTAAGTACTCAAGAATGTTTCAAGATAAAACTCTGTTTTATGTTCTTAACATGGTCATTAATGGTTGCTGCATTAGTGTCTGCCTGGAGGGCTACCTAGTGATAGTTGTGCTTGTCTCATCTTGTATTTATGTAGCAAAGGCTTGATGCCTAGCCAAAGCTTGTTCTTTTTCCCACCACTCCCTCATTCCTGGTTGTTCTCATTACTCATAGAAGTTTTCCAAAACTGAGCATAGGCGCTGGTATAACAGTGATTTCAAGGTCTTGTATTTTTTTAAAGTGGATGATAGATACACAAAGGAAAGTCAATGGTGTTCCAAATGCCCATTCGTTCCTATATATTAATATGACAAAACTATCCCTAAATACAGGAGTTTGTTAAATAAAATAATTTTATATTTTGGTGGAGATGGTCAATAAAAGCAGTGCACAAATATAAGAAAGATCAGCTTGAATTTGGATTAATCAACACACGTCAACAGAATTAGAGTTGGATAAATTGCAGGAACTTACACATTTATCAAATAATTGCTGCAACCTCAGTTGTAGATGAAATGGCCATTTTCACAATATGACATCAAATTGACATGAGTAGCAGTGTTTTGTAAACATAGATCAACCTATCATATTTTAGATTTGAGATATGTGTGCTTAAGGGCACCAAAGGATTGCAGTAATGGTTTAGTTCATTTTGCTTTTTCTTTCTACAGGCTCGGATAGCATTTTTACAAGGAGAGAGGAAAGGTCAGGAAAATTTAAAGAAGGACCTAGTAAGAAGAATAAAAATGTTAGAATATGCTTTAAAACAAGAAAGGTGAGTGTTTTGTGTCTTGTTCCAAAACATTTTCAACTACATAATGTTTTTATAAAGTAAGCACTTTTATCAACACCATAAGCATTTGAACAACATACTACAATCTAACCAGAAGCTTCTCTTATGTTCTAATTTGTAAGATTCTATTTTCTTTCTATTAAATGTCAATGTTCTTACTATTAAATGTCACAGAGAAAAGTTAATAAAAGGCATGAAAGAGTGTGGGCTTTAAATTATCTGCAATTAGAGCTTTAAATTTCATTTTAGTTGATGTTTGTGATCCTTCTTCGTTCTGAACATTCTCTGCAGAACACTTAAGGTGCCAACGGATCAAAACCAAGGACAAACATCACAAGGGCAATAATGAAAACATTGTGCTATTTGATTTCCAACTGCTCCGATCTGCTATAGAAACAGGAGCTCCCTGAACATGCTAGTGTGCCTGATGTAGAGTCCAAATATTCAAGAGATTTACATTGTTAGCATTTCTGGTAGTGATGTATATAAATATGCTGGAGGGCTCCATTTATTATTTAGGCAAAGAATGGCGTAATATGCATTTCAGTACGTAAAATAAGCAAGAAGATACAGTGCCATTCTGTTGCTTGTGCCTCTATTTGGACAGCACTTCTCTTACCATTCACAGCCTAAAGTAGGATTTATCCTCAGGCCACTTCATGTGTAGACTTAAGTTTCTGAGTGGACATGAGATTCGAACTTGAGTTAGAACACAATATTATTTTAAGCAGCTGATGCCTTGCTGTATTTTTAAATCTGTATTTTTTCATATCATCATTGCTAATAGGGTACGGAATAACGTATCCCGAAGACCAATCTTTTGACATGAAACCATTTGCTTCTTTACAATTTGAGATGCCTTTCACTTCAGTTGTTCATCCTACAAACTGTCAAAAGTCATCTTCTTGAAGGTTGCCTTGTGCAGTGCTAATGTTTATAAAATTAGTGCACTGCTTAGAATATCATACTTGATGCAATAGTTCTGGTTTAGATTCTGCATACCAAACTCAGATATTTGAGTCGGAAATTATCCACTTTTTGTGGAGCAACTAAGCCTCTAAGGGTCAGTCCAGGTCCCTAAGTATGACAGTGAGGTTATTACATTACTACCTAATTGTGTTTTCTATTTTTGGTTAGCCTAGATTTGATCTATGTTAGGTAGGCTTTGTTGAGTGTGGATGTGGCAGTATTGTCGATCTTCTTTTGTGTAAGTGAGGAAAAATGAGTGAAGCAGGGCTATTTACCCTGCCGATCGAGGTATTTCTCTGTTGGATGCTTATGGTCTGTATGTGTACATGTATTTATACACATTTGTATTGGTGTTTTCTTCCTCTTGTCAAATCCACTACCCACAATATGTTTGCCTACGAATATAGTCAAACACTTTACAGAAACTTTGTGACACAAAGTTCTCAATGTAATAGGCATTATATCAAATGCAAGGATTATATATATATTTAGTCACTATGTTTTATTAAACTATCAAGTTTACCGATTTTTTTTGTTTGTTTACTACAGATGAAATTGCAGTAATGAATTGCAGGGCTTCACTAACGCACAGCGCAGAGTTTTAGTGAAACTATTTAACTCGGAAAGTACCAGATTCTCTCCACTGTCTATGCTGAATTTCATCTCCGTTACATTTATGGCAAGGCCATTAACCATTCTCTCAGTATGACTGGTTTAGGTGAGGGTAAATCAATCAGGGTCTTTCATCAATATATTGTAATTATTGTGCAGCATGTGAACACTAAAGGAAGACAGGACTCAGCTTCACTCCAATACCTTCTAACAGCCTATAGAAATTTGCCTAGATTCACAGTGAAGGACTGAATACCCCATAATCCACTGCCTTGAGAAGAAGAGCAATTTGAAGAGAATGGGAACGATGTTCAAAATTATAGACAAACTTAAATCGTATAGTATGGGAATCTTTGTATTAGGTTTGGAGTTGCAGTACAATCTCAGATTTGCACACATTTCATTTCATGTAACATTTTTCTCTTCTAACTCTTATAGTAATTTGTCGTACTGTGCTTTTTGTACTGCAGTTTTATTTCTTTGGGTTTAGACGTTTGCAGTACTCTCAAAGTATTTCCAGAAACAAAATGTGAAAATTGTGTTTGTGTTGGCACTGAAAAGGTTGTGGGCATCTTTGCAGTATAAACCTAACAAGAACCAGTCTCTGTGTCTTAGAGCACATTAAAACAAATGTAGAATTGTGTTAGATGAACAGTCTGTTCCAGTTTAAGTTTAACCTAGTGCACAATGTGGTGTGTTTTGTATTCCAAGAGGACATAGGATTCGAGTTGTAAAAGAGCAATTTTAGGACAGATACTAGGAAGTATATCTTTACACAGATGGTTATCAACAGCTGGAATGGGCTACCGGGAAGGGTGGTAGAGGTCAGGATACTGAATTCATTTAAGAATCCACTTGATTCTGCAACAGGAAACATAAGGAGTCGTTTTTCGGAAGGATTAAATCAAATAGACCATATTCACTCGTATCTCTCTTATGATTTTATGTAATTATAATCTATAAGATACATGTTACTACCAACATTGAGTACTTGTAAATACTGAAGTGTAATATGTAAAAAAACCTTCCCCACTGCTTTTGGTAAATTTCTTGATTTCAATGCCATTTTGAAATTTTAACAACTGCATATGCACTCTTTTAAGAACGCTTTTATTTTTCTTTTAGGGCAAAATATCATAAATTAAAATATGGCACAGAGTTGAATCAAGGTGACTTAAAGATGCCAGCATTTGAATCAGGTAATTAATGAAGATTTAAAATTTTTGCTGATTGAATGTAGTTTCAAATTATTTTAAAGGATTTTTGTTTTGTTGTATGGTAGTTTTAAACTTTGATTGAGAAGAAAAGTTGTAAACTGCACTGCAGAGTTTCCAGGCATTTTAACTGAGACGGCCCTGTGCCAGCTAATATAAAGTGAACAGTTATCTTAAATGTGTCTAACTTGGTCAGATTTAATTGAAATTATATAGTCTATAGTAAGATATAAAAGTTTCATAAAGTTAGTCCACTGTTTTAGATTTTATGATTCTGCTTGCAACTTTATGGGTTTGACTCCTGAATTAATATATATTAAACATTTCTTTTTAATCTTTTTTTCCTCCTTAAAGTTAGTAGTGCAGCACAAAACATTTCCCATTCCTGGAATATTAAGAAGTAAAATGAATTTCCTCCGAAACCTGGCTAACGTCTTTAGCATTAAGTAACTTATCTATGTATTAGTTTTTTGAATTCCAATATTATAAATCAGCTGATAAAATTATTATATATTTTTGCTGTTATAATTTTGTGATTGTGTTTGCTTGCTTTTCTAGAAGAAACCAAAGATACAGAGGTGCCAAGCGTACCTCAGAACAGCCAGCTGACCTGGAAACAAGGCAGACAGTTACTCAGACAGTAAGTGATATGAATTTTAATTTGTTCTTAGTGTTTGTTGGCAGGATTTGAAACAAATAATTATGTCAGTCTTAAAACTTTTGCTCATTTCCTTCATTTTTGGAGTTGTTCAAATTTATATTTACTGCATTATTGGGTTGCTGCTGATGTCTTTTCCTGCAGAGGAAGAACCGCTGTGCCATTTCCTCCACTGTGTGCAAGACATGCTTCTTGCGTCACTTCCTTTGCCAAGTGATTTCATTGCAGTTCCTGTTCATAGCATGCATGAAGTGAACATTAACAGCAATGCATAGCAGTTGACTTAGAAGTGACCTGACAGCCTAGAAGCTTTTTTTTAGGGAAGTCAGCACTGGAAGCTCGGAGTCCCACGTTTCTGGAAGCTTTTGTGGAGTCCTGTAGCTCAGTGGTTAGAGCACTCATAAATACAGTATTCTGCAGTGTCATATTTTAATCTGTACAATTAATTATATTGAATTATCAAAGATATATGGAACTTTTCCAGTTATTCTCATGTATAATCTTGATAATGAAAACTTTAGTTTGCTGCTCAAATATTATTGTGAAAGATGAAATCAGATACGTACTTAAATGCATCTTTTAAATCTCAGGTATTTACAAGAAGTTGGTTACACAGACACAATACTAGATGTACGGTCCCAGAGGGTGCGGTCGTTGCTAGGGCTTTCTGGCTCTGAGCAGAATGGATCAGTAGAAACAAAAAATTTGGAACAGATTCTTAATGGTGGAGACTCTCCATCTAAACAAAAGGGACAAGAAGTTAAAAGGTATGTTTAAAAATTGTATGTTTTTCTTGCAGCAATTGCAGTAAAATTAATTCACTTATTCTTGATAGTTTTCACTTGTCATTAGCTTTACTGCTGGGCAGAGTGTGTGATGGAGGCAAAGCATTCATCTTTGGAGGAAGGATGATCTACTACATAAAACCTATTGTGTTTGAATTGTCATTCAATCACAGCATGGCATACCTGTTGCCTAGACCATCCTCTTGGCCAAGATTGGAATAGCCTGGAAGACGAAGTGGAAATAAAAATAAACTGATTTAATTTAGTCCTTATAGAATTCCATACCAAAGATTATTAGCAGCCTCTCAAAATTCTAAACATTATAAAAGGCATGGTGGTACCAAGCGTTTGGAATTTGGATCAGCCTAGTTCAAACCCTACTCTGATTAGTTTGCTCTGAGAGTTGGAAAGTGCCAAGCAGGAGTTGTCTCACTAGTGGGAGGGAGTGAGAAAAAAATCTGAGGAGAAAGTCAAACTGATCCTTAGCACTCCTGGCATATAGCGATGTTCTTCTTGGCAACAACAGATGAGAAATAATTAGTACGAAGAAGAGCAAATTAAAAGGAAACTTTTCAAACCATAAACTTTAAAAAATATAATTGTGTGTACATAACCTACATAAATGCATCATAAATGCGTGTGTGTGTTTGTATATAATTTTTTATTACATTTAATCCTCCCATCTTCAGTTCATCTGGGTTTGAAGAGTTAAAGGACACAAAGAAACCTTTAATATAAAAATACATTTCTTGAATTTGTAATACAATTTTTTTGTAAAATGTACTGAAGCAAAATGTAGTACTTAAAGGCATGGTAATGTATTTTTCTTACCGTCTTCTCCTAAAATAGGAACTCAGGAGATAAACCAAGGGTTGCAGACGCTGAAACGTTTAATTTCTTAGAAAATGCAGATGATGACAGTGATGAAGACGACGAAGAGGAAGGAGACATGGTGGAGGACATCACAGATGGCAAAGAAAAGCACAGAATAAACAAGAAACATAAAGTAAAGGTTTGAATTTATCCTAACTATTTAGCAGCACAAATTATAGTTTGTGGGAGTTTCAGGGCATAGTTTTCTCATCGACTGTCCAAAGTAACTTTGACCTGATCTTCCTGTTCTGAAATCAGGTGCTTTTTCTTTGTCTTTAATGTTATATTGAAATTTTCCCTCTCCCCATGTACTTGTTTTTGCTAAACAATTCATGAGAAAAAGTTGGAACAGATGGTGTTTTGTCATTTGACTGGTCATTGATAGCTCTCCCCCTTTGTTCCTGTATCCCCATTGGGAAGACGCTGATCCTTACTCTACACATCGCCACAATATAGTTATAATATTATATTAATAGTTGGTGAGATCAACAATTTACTCTTTGGAGAATATGGGGCAACAATAACCACTTGCTTTTATATTGCGCTCTTCATGGGGGCTAGTGTCCCAGGCACAAATGTATAATTCTTCCTGCTGCATATAGAGCAGCCTAAAATGATAGAATATGTTAGAGACAACTTTAAAATTTTGTTTAGAGATATTTTTTAAACCTGCTTCCATAATAATATTGGTTCCCTTCTCTCTGTATTCAGTCACTGTATTGTAACTTCTTGAAGATTATATGTATTTTTCTTGACTACACTATAGGATAATTAAGTCCCTCTGTTGCCTGTTCGCTTGTCCTAAAAATATCATTAGTGCAATGTGTTTTGGTATTAAACTATTCAATGCCAAAAGATCCAATAAAACTACAGTAAGGAATAACTTTAAATAATTGCTGGGAAATCTGTATCCTGAACTGTTACTGTGGCTCCAGATCGACCTTCAAGCTCCAGGTATAAAGTGCATCCCTGATGTTTTCCATTGAGTTGCTCAATGAAGGGGACATGACTTGAGGATCTCCATTCACATAATAAAATTGACGTGTTTATAAACAGATGAAACAAATTCCAGTGATTACATTCTTTTTTAAATGAAAGGTTCGCTTTATGAAAAACTGAGCTGTTTATCACTTTTTTCTTTGACTTTTCTATTTCTTTTTATGCACTTGTATCAGTCATCCCTTTTCAATTAACTTTTCACTATTCAGGACTTCATTCTCCCCCTTTTCTGATCTTTCTATTTTGATTTCCATTTTGAAGCTAATTTGAAATATTACCTCAACATCAGACTGCTAAATTTGTTTTCCTCCACTATAATTTCCGTTAAACTCACCTTGGTTGTAAGCAAATGAAGTACAATTATTTTACAGAATATGGTGGACTGGCCATAATTTTTTTTAAAAATCCTTCACTATATGTGTAGGATTTATATAACTTGTGGTAGATGGCATTTCAATATTTCAGAAGGCTTTGCAATCTCTTGTTATTGTTTATGTACCTTTACTCTCTTGACTTCATTTTTTCTAAGTTTTCAATATTCCTGTTGCTTTTCCAATTTTCAGTTCATCTTTTGTTTTTGTTCTGCTTATAATCTTTCCAAAGTTATTCTATCTATAGCCTCACCTGGCTGCTTTTGATAACTTGCCCGTCCCCATTGTGCTCACCTTTCTTAAAGAACATTTTTGATTTCTCCTATGGTATAGCTTGATTCTCTCCTGCGCTCATTTGAGAGGGTCTATATCAGTCAGAGCTATTAAATTATTGAATGTTATCTCTAAAGTTGATCATACAATTCTTCAATCTTTACTGAATAAATGTCAAACTTTACTTCTCACCGCTTTTAGATTGGTAACGAGGGGCTGGCTGCTGACTTGCCTGATGATCCTGACACTGAAGAAGCTTTGAAAGAGTTTGATTTCTTAGTAACAACAGAAGATGGAGAAGGAGCTGGGGAAGCCAGAAGCTCTGGGGATGGAACAGAATGGGGTAAGAAAATTGGTGGAGTCCATGGCAAACCACTTCTACGGTCTGTTTATTTGTTTATATGTGCTCTGACATTCGCTGCTGTTTGGTTGAGCTGATTGTTCCTGTTTTACTGACATGTGTCAGCTGTCTAGGATAATAGGTTCTTTCGAAATCGATGAATATATCCAGTGTTATTTATTTGTTTCTGGTACACTTTCACACTAAGACAAACAAGAAGCATCTTTAATTTTTTCCAATTGTTTGTAAATTTCTAAATAATTCATTGATGGTTTAAAAAAAGCCACTGAGTTTAACACTAAGCTATGGCAGAATTCTTCATCTGTAATCCAGGAAATATTTTCACTTGGGTCAGTAGTTATAATGTAAGCTTATGTCAAGATTATGGCAGGCAGTCCATGCAGTTCTGGAACAGCAAATGACCAATGTTCAGTTTTGCAGGTTGGTGTAATAACAGCAAAATAGCTGTGTGTCAAGTCTTAACTTGAATCTACGTTGTCTATGGCTTCTTTGTGTCATTCTGGGATGTTTTTCAACCTTGCTTTTTTCTTTACTTGCTTGGAGGAGTTCTCCCTGCTGCCCTGTATAGTAGTTAAAATTCAGCTTCTCTTGCACATAGATTATTTGAAGTTGTTTTGTACTTCATTTGTATTGGAATTTTACCAAATAAAATTAGTTTTAGGTAGAAAAGCTAAACCATTGCACCCAAGCTCGATAACAGCTGACATCCAGGTGTGCATAATTCCCAGCAGCGATCAATGGGTGGTGATCAGAAGTGGAAACATTAAATGCCCCCCCCCATTCCCTCACTCCCTTTCTTCGGGCGCTGGGACCACTTGTATGATATCTACTGTTACCGTCACTCAGATCAGCTAACGGACGATACCTACTGTTATCCTCAGCAACAACAACAAGATGACATTTACAGAGCGCCTTTCACGTCGGGAGGACGTCCCAAATTGCTGAACAGTCAGATGTCGGGGCCCAAGCATGGGGAAGGGGTCGTGTAGGGGTGAGGGAAGGCAGAGAGGTGGGAGGCTGACCAAATGCATAGTCGAAGAGATGGGTCTTGAGACCGGCCTTGAAGGAGGCAAGCAAGGAAGCAAGGCGAAGGGACTGTGGGTTGGAGTTCCAGAGTGTGGGGGCACAGAGGCTGAAAGCCCGGCCACCGATGGTAGGGCGGGTCGGGTGGGAGACATGGAGCAGACCGGAGCCCGTTGAGCGGAGGGAGCGGGTAGGTTGGTAGGGAGTCAGCAAGTCAGAGAGATAGGAGGGGGCAAGGCCACGAATGGCCTTGAAAGTGAGGACGAGGATCTTGAACTCGATCCTCCAAGGGATGGGGAGCCAGTGGAGTCGGGCGAGGGTGGGAGTGATGGGATCCGGAGCCTGATGCTCACTCAGGCACAGATGTCTTCAGCTTCCAATCTAACTGCAACATTACACAAAATATTACAGAAGGAAGTGACTCATCATAGACAAATAAAACCTGTGAATTGATGTTAAGAATGCTTTATTTTGCTTTGGATATTGAAGAAGAATGCTGATGTTTTCCAAAGTTTTAACTCCTTTAATGAAAGCTGCATATTTTGTGTAGAAAATGTGCTTCAGGATTCGTACACTGTTACCTCATTAGCTCCTCGGAATTGAATGAATCCTGACTTTGAACCATAGTTTATTTCTTCGATAGTTCTGATGGTTTGATTTTCAGTTGCATATAATATCATTTGACATTTTCTTTTGACGTGTGAGAGCATTGAGTGAAATGGATTGTTTGATTTGTACTCTTCAATTGTGGGTTCACCGTATATGGCTAAGAACTGATTTTTGAATTGATCAAAATTAGCCAGAAATTTCTCTTAACTACTGTTGTTTGAAACAAATTGGAAATGGTACAGATTTGTTGCTGGCTATTCAGGACAGGATAATGGTTGGCACTATTACCTGAGTGGGCGCCATCATCTGTCATGCCAGCAATCTCCTCTCTTTCATTTTTCATTCTTTGCCTCATTTCTATATTTCTATATATAACTTCCTGTTTGTATATCTTTGACACCTAGATTTTCTTCCTTGTTTTTACTGCTATTGTCCCTTCATAATCTCCGTTTTCCTTCACCTATGCTCAGGTTATTTCTTGGTATTTGATGAATTAAATCTGTTGGTCCAAAATACTAATGCAGTCAATCCTATCATCTCTTTTTACCACAAGCTTTGAAAGTTGATGGAGTTGAAATTTAGTGTTGCTGAGAAAGAATGTAATGACTGGAAGTATAAAATGGTTTCCCTCTTGCTGAGCAATAAGAGTCTATTATAACAAAATGAATGAGCCCTTTAACAGGACAGATTGGTAATAAGATTATCAGATCATAAAAGAGGAATTGGAGCTTGGGGATACCCAGGAATGGAATCTGAAGTCTTAAACATATTGGGTGATGTGAGATCTCCAATGCATGAAGAGTCTAATGCATTTAATACCCCTTTGGGCAGTTCGGTGCTTTGTTACAATTATCTTTCTTAGACTAAGATATTCACTAATTTGAGTGTGTGTCTGTTCACAGTAGTATTGATGGATTTAATAATTTACTACAATGTTTGGGTACAGTTCTAAAGGAAATCTCCCAAACAGAACTGGAAATCTCCTTAACACAATGAGGGGAGCCTCAGAATCATTAGATTTTTTTCTTCTGCTTGATTCTTAATCAAGAAAATCTGTCAAAGGACTAACTCTCATGAGAGACATTGACTGATAATTACCTCTGGTGACTTCTGTAAGTGGGGTGAAGGGAGAACCTCCTTGTTACTTTATATTCTCTTATTTCCTGGAAGGAAAATGCTGCTTTATATTCACACTGGCTTAATGTTGTTCTTTGTTGTCTTTGGTGCAGTTGCATGTAATTGCTCTCTGTTTTTTTAAAAAAACTTGCATTGGCTGTGAAGTTACATTTGTAATTAATCTTTTACTTCTGAACGAGTTGCTATAATTTAAAAATGTGTTTTAAAGAATAAATAACACTGACTTTAGTGATTTTTAAAGACTAATTAAAATACTAACTGTCTGAAATGGCAACAGTGACTGCTTGCATTCCCACCTGCTGATTTTTCAATGATGTGCTGCATGTAGACAAAGATGACCTGAGCCCATCTTCGGAGCTTTGGGCTGTAGACCAGGGACTAATAAGTAAACTGAAGGATCAGTACACGAAGGAACGGAAGGGCAAGAAGGGGGTGAAGAGTAAGTGCAGATGATTCTGAATCATGTAGAACTTTCCCTTCTACTTAAAAATGCTTTCCACACACCCCACTTTTTTTAAATTTTACTAAGTACTTGTCTCTTAAGAGCTATATTTCTGTTTCTCCAATATTTTTCTTTCCTTTTTCTCTAAAATCCCAGTTTCTGAATTAGGGGTGCAACAAACACAATGGGAGGTTTTGATATTGGTTTTGAAAGCCACTTTGGAAAAAGTGCATTAACTGAAAAGATTTATGGTGGCATTTTATAAGAATAAAGCATGGCTGTGTAAAATGCTAATATTTGCAGTCCGTATAAACATTAGTCATCTGCCATATTGTCAACTTTTACATCTGTAAAAGTGGGAAGGGACAGTTTACACTGACAATGTGGTGAGTTCACTTGACTTGCCATTAATGATTAATTCGCTCATGGAAATTTGTTTTTGACTACTTCAGTTTTAATTTTGATTGCTGGAAGAATTTGAATTCTAGCCAAAACGTTATCCTTGTGTATATGGTTGACAGCTTTTAACTCCACCAGTCAATAAAAGTTTAATGAGATTGGCCAAAGTCCAGAATGTTTAAGAGAGCAAACATACAATTCAAAAAAATATCCAATATTATTTTTTCTTTGCAGAATGTGTAAATTATAATCACTGTATTGTGACTGACTGAGCGAGTCTGCTGATATGTTCAGTGTACTTTGGTTAGTTGTAAACATTAAGTAGTTCACTTTTTTTTAAACTCGCCAGATGTTCTGGATAATTTTCCCTCGTCTCCTCTTCTATGGCTGTGATGCCATGGATGCTGGTTGTCCTTCTATACCTTGTTTAAGCAACCATTATTTATTAGTGAGCCTTGACACTGAGTATAGTAGCCATCTTCTACTGTGGGTGCCATCACAGCTCAGTCGCATCCTGTGTAACGTTCATATAGATGCTTTTCCAGTAGAGAATGCTGAATGTTGATCACAAATGGGATCTGGTTGATTGTCCTCTTCCCAAATCAGGAGTGTTGAGGCCATTTATAATACTCCTTCTCCCATCTTGTGGGAGATGGGAGAAGGAGCATTACAAATATAGTTTTTTTTGGTTCGCTCACAAAATATACAGTCAATTCACTTTACGGTATATTCTTTGAAGCGCTTTGAGATGTCTCGAAGATGTGATAAGGCGCTATGTCAAATGCAAGAATGATTATTACCTTTCACAGCCTCAGCTACGTTAACAAAGTCAAATGTGGGACCTTCCTGTATTTTCCTCGAGTACTTATTTTGATGTTTGCATAAAATGATTAAATTATTCTGAATATTAAGTTTATGATCAAGTTCTCAATATTATAAAGAAGCAACATTTATGGATATGGTGGAAATGTTATATTTTGAATCTTTGCAAAGGCAGGAGAGGAGAGAGATTTTTACCATGATAATTTCAGGATTAACTGACTAATTTCAACAATTGCATTAAAACTAACAAAAAGCTGCATAATGATAATAATAACAACAACAAAATTACATTTATAGAGCGTCTTTCACGTCAGGAGGACGTCCCAAAGCACTGAACAGTCAGGTGTCGGGGCCCGAGCATGGGGGAGGGGTGGTGTAGGGGTGAGGGAAGGCAGAGAGGTGGGGGGGCAACCGAAGGCACGGTCGAAGAGAAATATAATAGGTATAATGGTATTTTATGCTAACCAAATGGAAGAGCATGCAGGTTTGCTAATGTTTATTTCTAATTGAAGTGTGTGGTTTAGTGTTTACAGGAAACGTTACAATGATCAGTTTCTCTTAGAAGTTTAATATTTGCCAAAGTTAAAACGTCTCGAGCAGTTCACACAATGAGTGACTTTGATGCCGTCCAAGTTGTTGTTGAAGTGTAGTGACTGTTGTGTAGAGAAATGTGGCAGCTAATATGCAGTCGTGGCTACAAAAGCAATGATATGAGTAACCATAATTATTTTTTGTTGGTGAATTTGGATGATGAAGGAATATTGGCCCAACCACTGAGCAATCTTCCTGCTTTTGTTCAAAATCGTGACCCATGATCTTTAAACATAAACTGACAGATTGGAAGCTCATGCTCACAGAGCAGTTGAAGACTGATATATTAGCACATTTAAGAGAACTGGATAAAGTTTTGGTAAAATAAGTGATTGAGTGATAAAAGAGTGAGAGGATCGTATTTATAGGTTTCAAACTTTAGAACAAGACAGATGGGCGGTAGTTGTCATTTCTAGTCTTGTTGGCTTGGTGTGCAGAGTGAGTGACACATGAAACATCCTGTCAAGCCCTCTCTGTGTTAAGGATGGTAAATGGGTCAGCAGTCTATCCTCCACGAAAGTGGGGTCTAATACTTCCCGGAACTAGGTAAACAGGATGCGTCCCTCCAGGGAGAGAGTGCGCAATCCATTCCAATAAACATCTCTGGCATTTCCATGGAAAGGTGGCGTGAATGGAATTCTCACTTTGGTTTGGATACCCTTAAGCAGAGTGATGGGTTTCCACAAGAGTCAGACACCTAGCTGAACACAAATATTGGGGCAGGCAGCAGTGTGATGGTTTGTTGAGTGCTGAGACATTTGGTACACTTCTGTGATTCTGTAAACTGTGATCCCTGGTTTAAAAATATCTAAAAACAATTCCTTGAGATATTTAACTGACCACCAATGTCATAGACCAATGGTATTGTTCCTACTGTGTGTTTTGAACTTTCAAATAACCACTTGCATCAGAACAGTATCTTTGTAATAGCCTTTCCTTTCTAAGTTGTGTTCATTGACTTTCTCTCACCCACCCTGTCTTTTAATGTTCAGTTAGATAAACAGGTGTCTTATAGTTTAGGTGTCCAGTCAGTTTACTCTATGCACTTCAAGTGGTTTCACTAGGATTTGTCTTTTGATTACTGTATAATGCAGTCATCTGGCTTTGCATCCATGTTTAAAATGTATATTTAAGCATGATCAACAAAAGGATATCAAACTGCTGGATTGTGCACGTATTAACTGCTCAAGTGGGATTTCAAACCATAATTCTAAGACCAGAGGAACCTGATTGGAAGGCCTTTTCAAATATGTCTGAATTATATTAGTTTTTCACCTATGTTTTGTATTAAATCTGGGACCTTTTCACTTTTGTATGGTTCAGTTTGATTACATTCTAATTATACCCGTTAAGTCATCTTTGGATATTAATATTAGTAGCTGCAAAATTACCTATTACAATATTTAATGAAATTTATAGTGAGACTAGTTTAATTTAGTAAATGTAAGTGCATCCAATTAAATGAATAGCATTTTATGCTTCCTTTCACATGGTGTGAGATTTCACTGAGTCATATGTTAGCTACACTTTAAGGATGAATTGGCACTAGACACTCCATAAAAGAACCTGCTTCTTGACTAATTAGACAGTATTTTCTCTTGTTTGTCATTTGCCAGCTGTTGCTGCAAGTAGAGTATTCTTGCTTATATTCTGTGCCACTTAAATACAATAAAATTACATTTGTGTAATTTCATGTCGGAAGATTGTGCCGCGGCACTGGACAGTCAGGAATTTGGGCTTGAACTGGGATTGGGATCGGGGAGGGTAGGGAGGGTGGGAGGTTGGCTGAAGGCTTGGTCGAAGAGTAGGATTTTGAGACACATGTTAAAGGAGGCAAGGGAGGGAGTGAGACGAAGGGACTGTGGGATGCAGTTCCGTAGGTAGAGTGGGCCGGGCAGGGGACGTTGAGCGGGCCAGAGCCTGCTGAGCAGAGGAGTGGACAGGCTGATATGGGGTCAAAACAGGTTGCAGAGGGAGGGAGGGGCAAGGCAGTCGAGGGCCTTGTAGGCGAGGATGAGGATTTTGAACTCTGGGAGAAGGGGAGCAGGGCGAAGGTGGGGGTGATGGTGTCGCAGATCCTGGTGCGGGAGAGGACACGAGCTGCAGAGTTCTGGATGTTTTGCAGCTTATGGAGGGAAGAGTTAGGAAGGCTGACAAAGCAGGGGGGTTGGCGTAGTCAAGTCTAGATGTGATGAATGCCACTCCTCTGATCTAAATGGAGCAATCCTTTGGTGTTAATAATAATAATATTATTAGTTGGTAGAGGTCTCTCTCTTCAGTGTTACAAATGGCCTTCTATAAGGTTGAAGAAACTTATTTTGATATATCTCATGGTGCGGGACTGGTTGAAGCATGAGAAAGATTTCTACATATCTTGCAGTGGACAAATTTTCTCTGATCTTTGAACATTTGCAAAAGGGGTAACAATTCTATAAATGGACAATGAGATTTTTCAAGCAGACTGCAATATTAATTGGTGTGAAACAGGCTTGTCTGAATGAACTCCTTCAGAGAACAAGAATTACTGTGGTAAGAAATTACTATCTGAAAATGTTCAAATTAAAAACAATTAACATCAGAGTGTCTCCTGTTATAATCTGAACTTTTGATGTGTTCTTGGATGAAAATTGGAGGTAGCTGGAGAATCTTGTACTGAAACATCTAGGTCTTAAGAAGAGAGTTTATTTCCACATTTTTGCTCCCATTCTTATGTTCCAAGATGTTTTTAACTGGATTATATAATGATGATGATATTAAAATTTTAAATTAACATGAACAAAACTTTTGTCAATTCAATTTGCAAATGTATTTCAAGTGCTAGTTTGTTGCACCCCTAGTGTAAACATCCTAATTTTTAAATCTTTTTCCATTCACGTTGTTTAAAGAACCATTTCCTTGATTCTCTATTCTTTTTCCTTTCCTCTCCTGCAGTTTGATTTTGAAACCTGATCATCTGAAATCCGGTTTCAATATGGAATGTACTTTGTTAGATGAAAGCGGGAAAATATGCAAATTTATTTTCTCTTTAACTACATTTTATATTAAAATATCTCAGCAGTGATCATATCATGCATTTGAATTACTGCTTCTTGCCAGCAGAAAATCAGACTGCTTAATGATCAGCTAGATTGTGGTATGCACAGCATGCATATACTGTATATATAAATTATCTAAGGCTGGTTGGATCTTGTGGATAACAATGATTTCAAATGATTTCCTTTGGCTACAATGAACCCCTAAAACACCCCGAATTGAAGAACCTATTTTAGACTAACGAGACTGCTTGGTATCTCACTGATTAGCTACTGATGGCTTTCATTTACAGGGGTAAACAGGTCAAAACTACAGGATATGATTGCAGATCTCAGAGATGATGAGCTGCCTCACATCCCATCTGGAACCATCAATCAGTCCAGACCAACCTCTTCCAGAATGGCTGATCATGACAGCTCAAGAGCAGAAGAAGGTATAATTAAAGCTGTTACTGTATCTCTCTGTTGGGCTGTCAGAATCTCACATCCCAATACTTGCCTTTAATCCCAGCATAATCATGTTGGCAGCCATATCTATTTCAGCTCCAATCTGAGTCACAAAAATAAAAAAAGGATTGATGGATTTATTTTGATCCAAGACCCTGCAAAGGGGCAACATTAATAGTCTTAACAATGCATAGAGCTACGTTTCAAGTGAAGTACTTCATTGCAGATAATGAATATCCTTTATTTAGAAGTAAATATGTCGATTAAGTTAAATCTTTTCAGGTTCTAATCTAGCTTTATACATTTTTAAATACATAATTAGATTTCTAAATGCTTCAATTTCTCTGATTGGATTCTTCCTTCAGTATTCCTGCTTCCTTCAATAGAGTTCCCTAATTATTATAAAAGTTCAAGATTGTAAACCAATTTCTGTGATGATTTTGGAAAATAATTGTATTTTATATAGTGTCCCATTACATAAATGAATCCTATCAATTTTACTGTAAAGTGAACGTGGCAACCAATTTGTGTACAGCAATGTTCCACAAATAACCATGAAGTGAACGTCCAATTTTAGCTGTGGGGATTGTTGGCCAGGACACCAAGAGGAACTCCCTCCTTTTTTTTTGAATTAATGCCAAATGTCTAAATATCCACATAAATATTTTTAATATCTCTGTAATTTTTATATCTGGATTGGAAACTTTCCCCAGCAAGATTCATTACGTACTAGCAGCATTAAAATATCTAATTTGACTAAATCTGGCTTAAGCACGGCATTGCAGGCTACATACCTCATTTTAATTTTGTGTATCTGAATCAATGCAACAATGAGGATCAGAGTGCATTGGATCTTAATGGCACAAAGGAAACTCCAGATTAGTTTATGGTGTATTTCCGCCTGTTGCAGTTGCCATTGTCAAATTAGCTAGCATTTATATTTATTGTTATTCTAGGTAATCAACTTGATGATCAGTCTCATTTGGTAAACTTTCAGTGATTGCACTACAATTGTTAATCTTTGTGCACAGTTCAATGCAAATCAACAATGCAGAGCACACCAGCTGTCGTTGGCCATGTGCTAATTACTGCTGACCAAAAATTGCCCAAAACAAAACTAGTTAGCAGTGGCATCAGCACAGCAGATGCCGTGTCTGTTGTAAACACATCTCACTAGGGAAGAATATGTTTCTTCTTTGAATTTTTCCCCCCAAAAGTTGAAAATATTCCAGTCCAAGGTTCAGTTTTTGGTCAGTGCTGAGTTAGCTGGTCTCAGTGCTTGTTTACCAAAGTCAAGTCTTGAAAACAGTGTTCCTGTGACATCTTCCAGAGACACTATGAGTCTGCATCTTCCGCTAACTTGCCACTATGAACTGAAATGAATTATGCTGCATTTTTTTTAAGAGGAGTAAAAGCAAAGAACTTTTTATGATTCGGTAGCATTATTAAAACTAAATTAACCAATGTGGTTCTTTTGATATAAAGATCCCTTCATTTGCAATGTCTTCTCATGGAAACTGATTCAGCTGGAAAAATCATTTGAAGGAGGTCTTTGCGCCAGATCCGAGACGTAAATCATCTCTGACAACTGTGCTGCTGTCTGAGTAGCCTTGCCATGGGTGTTGGGTCAAAGCATTATTCCATCATGCTGGCCAGCATGAAACAGCTTTGGAGGATACGTCCACTGCATTCTTGTTTCCAGGCAGAATTTCCTTCCGAGAGTTGGGCTGCCATGGAAGCCGTATCCAGTATAGGTGGTGAGGCATTTGACAGCCTTGAAATAGTAAGTTTAAACATAAAGGACCAGGTTGTTTTCAATAACTAGCATCTGGAATGCAATACCGTTTTCAGCAGGGTTAGACCAAATAAATACATTTTAACAAAGGTGACTCTATAGCTTATAACTGTGAATTACTTCGGATCATTTGTTGTTTGCCTTTGATTTGAATAAATAGCTGGGCTTGATTTACTCAAGGACCATGTATTCTAGTGCAGTGGTGTGAAATGAGCTCATCCTGCTCTTCCTTTTCCGTCATGAAATGTTCTGGTTTTGCAAGGCTGGAAAAGGTAAAGCTCTTCGAGAAGAATTGATAAGCAAGGCATAAACAACTTGTTTAATTTGTAATGAATGAAGAATTGGAGATCACAAATATAAAAACCTTAATCACTACAGATTGGAGTCCTGTAGCTCAGTGGTTAGTGCACTTGCCTTGCAAATGAGAGACCTGGGTTTGATTCTTGGCAGAGTGAAATGAAAAGTTTCCTTACTCCACAAACCTCTGTTTACCTAGCAGTAAAGTAGGAACCTGGTTGTTAGTTGATTGGCAGATAACTTTTCCGAGATTAATAATTCCTTCAAAAAAAAAATTTGGTCACTTAATCCACGACTGTCTGGGGACACTGCTGCACGCAATTGGCTTCCGCATTTCGCCCACAAAATATTCAGTCAATTCACTTTGCAGTATCTTCTGTGAAGCGCTTTGAGACGTCTCGAAGACGTGATAAGGCACTATATCAAATGCAAGGATTATTATTAGATTTTGCTTTCTTCCACAAAAAAAGACTTGAACAAATGTTGGACTCCTCCACTGACACAATTACAATTATGCAATTATGTAACTGTGTAGGGCACTCTTTCCTCCTCCACTACAAATGGATGTTCATGGCACCTTCACTGGCTAAGGACACCTGGCTCTTGTACTGAATCAATTACACATGTATTCCTCTGAAATAGTCCATGCTCGAATTTCTATTGGACGCCTGTGGCTCTTATCTGGGTCAATCGCTCACCCGCCAATCCTTCTCTGAATCAATAGTCCAAGGGCACATTTGTATCAGACCCCGTTGGTGAGTCACTCACTGCAAGCATGCATTTTTGTCTCCTTCCCCTATGCTCACCTTTGAACCCATTACACACATTTCCAAGGCTTTAGCCATATTTTGATTTGTTTTTCACAACTCTTAATTTTTTTGATGTAAATTGATTTGGTCAGATTGCCGAATATTGTGATAAACAGTGAACATTAATGTTTCTGCATTTTTTAATTGATTCTAGGCAAGCCTAAAGATGTATCTATCCAAATTTGAAGTGTGAGTGTCAGAATGAACTTTTACAGTGTTTATGTGGATAGCATAAATAAGATCGTTGGTAATTAAAACTCAGATTTTCTCTGTTTTTAAAATAGCCCAATCTATTTTCCTTACCTATTTGCAAAAACAACATATAAAATTATAGATGCTGGTTTAGGTATAATGCTTTGACATGTTCCATTAAAAAAAAATACTCTGTTGGAAAGAATTTGTGCGCCATGCGAATCCAGTTTGTTGGCTGAACTCTACTTGAAAGATGCATCTTGAAGGATGTTGGAACTCTTGTAAAAATAAAATGGAATTTTGAAGATGTCAAATCAAACAACTGAACAATAATCAACATGTGGCAATATTACACGAAATATCAGTCAGGATCTTTCAGTTTGAATTCTTGCTCAGTTGGTTGGGGGAGAATAACCTTTCAGCGTCTGCTGTAGAATTATGTATTCAAATAAATTGTCTGGTAAGTTAAGGATTTTGGGATGGTTCTGTTGACCAAAATGACTGACATTTAAACACATTCTGTGAAAAATCAAATGAAATGGATCTCGACAAGATCCAACTGGTGAGATTATTGAAGCAAATAATCAATGGAAAAACATTGAAATGTATATGGTCATATTGAGCCATTAACAACAGAATTGGGAATGAAGACACAGCGGGGCTAAAATTCTGGTCCCAAAAGGATATCTGGGCTGTGCTCTTAATTGCTATTCAGTGAATACTGCAGCAAAATGCACATGTGTTGATATTGGTGAACAGAATCAGACTCGATGAAGAATACTTCCACCCCACTGTTTAGTAAGTTCCCATACAGTGAAATAAGTAAAGAATGCCCACTTGGGTGAAGTACAAGAGGGAACTGGAAACCTGTGGAGCTGTACTTCTGAGTAATAATTCTTGCGTTTACTAAAGCCTTTGTGCTGTTGAAATATATCAGGGTGATTTTTAGGATTTTTACTGCAACTGTAGTGAGTATATTTGTAGGCAAATACTAGTCCAGCATTAGTTGAAACCTTCAGGAAATGAGAGAGAAAATAGGCAGTGCTTTTCTCCATTTGAAAATGCTGGATGTTCAGATGCTCGGATCCAGTTTGTTTCCTCTTTGTATTTGAATGTGAAGCTTAAGTGAATTTTTGTAACTTCTAAGTGACTAATAACATACTTTAATAGCTGTGTGAAAGCAGATGAGTGGCAGTATTATCTGTATTACTAACCAAATGTGAAGAATTGACGTATGTATAACTTTGATTATACTCCATTGAGGGATGGCAGTGGTGAGGTTTATCAGGTTCTACTTGGAGCTGGGCTGGCTCGAAGATGACGTACTTGGTAACAAACTATTGGAATCGAGTCAGTCCTCCAAGATGGAGTCTGGTTTCTGAACCATACAGGTCCACAGTCCTCTAAGACACTGCTGAAGTGAGAGACCAGCCCGATTGGTTCATTGGCAGGACGTGGAATGGCAGACTGGTCACTGGGTGCAAGGACTCTTTCCTACGCAGTTCATGTTAACCCTGCAAGCCAAAGCCCTAACCAGTAGGGTAATCCTAGCTGGAAGCATGCTAGTATTCGTAATGGCAATCTATAGGTATTAGCTGGTTAAACTCGGTTTGTGCTCCCAAAGACTGGTTGGTTCTTGCCAACCTGTGCCTTAAATTCCGGAATTAGGTATGCAAGGTGCCTCCCTCCAGGGAGTGTGTGCAATCCATTCCAGACAGCGAAATTTCTATGTGCAAGTGGAGTACTTATGAGGAACTCTCTCTGGTTTAGATACTGTAAAGCAAGATGATAGGTTTCTGTATGTACCAGACACCCATCTGACCAAACAAAATGTAAATTATTTTTACAAGGAGCTGTACATGATCATCAAAATGTATTTACAATAATCATAATATATGCTTTGAGCAAAATATTATACTAAAACATGTCACTTATACTTCAGTGAAACCATTTCATTTTTGCTATTTAGTTTATGCCCCATACTCTTCTACTTCGGAGTGGACAGACTGTTGACCTGTTTCAATGCCACCTTGTAATTGGTTCCTAGAATGCGGATGCAACTGGCCTTTGTTGATACATGACTAGTTCTCTTGTTTTGCATATTTTTCTAAAAATCCTCAGACGAGGCATCCTTCCTTTGTGAGGCAACTGTTTCCTCTTCCTTTCTTCCTGCTTCCACACTCCCCACCCCAAACTAACTGAGATTAGCAATTCAACACTTGGAGAATCGGTGCAAATCTGTTTCTGGTAATTAGTGTTTCACCACATTGCTACATAAACTTTGTGTGCGTTGAGTATATACTTCCACTTAGGCCTGCTATTTGTTCGGTTCAAATAATCTTAATTTCTTTTATTTAAAATCAGGAGACCAACTGAAGGTTTACATTTGCAGTGTTATATTTTCTAAATGTGGGGTCTGTCATTGACACATTAATATGGAATTGTTTTCTAGTTTGACTTGGAATCATTTTTTGATTCGCAATGTTACATTTTCAATCTTTCCTATCTGTGCTTTCATTATTCTACCTAACTTCTCCATTTGATTGTATTATTTATTCTTTTGTCATTTGGTATTACTTTCTTGGTTTAAAATATTTTAGCAGGAGTTGAGTAACAGTTGTAGAGGGGTACACATATAAAATATTCAAAAATTAGAAGGGAGGATGTAAAATCCTTAATTAAATAATGATTGGGATGTGTCTGAAATGTTGTGAAGTTTTGGAGGCAAATTAGGGTATTCACATCACACAGAGATTGAAAAACCAACAGCAATAACATATTGCATGAATTATTTATTGAAGTATAGAAACCTTTTCATATCCTGTTCAGGTTTGCCATTTTATGCATGCTTGTACCATTGATTGGGTTGACTTTTCCTCCTGTCTTCATTGCTTTCTGTGGATAACTGCCTGGACTCTACTCTCCACCACCATTTTGCTAAAGATGCATTAAGAAAATAGTCTGTTTGCAAATTAAAAGGAGTTGAGAACAGTTCTGCGGTATGTTTATATCTATACAGTTCCAGTTTTTGATTTATAATATCCTTTGGATTGAATTATCTCGTTTTTTTTAAATAGCTGAACCATTGACGTTTCCTTCTGGAACGGGGAAATCCTTTATTATGGGTTCAGATGACGTGCTGGAAAGTGTTCTGGGCCTTGGTGACCTCGCAGACTTGACTGTGGCGAATGATGCAGATTTCAGCTATGATGTAGGTATTTTATTTGTGTCTGATACATTCAGAAAACCATCGCCATGGTTAAGAGTATCCAAACCAAGCTGATATTTCCATGCGTTCCACCTGCGCATAGAAATCCCAGAGATAGATGTTGGAATGGAATGCACACTCTCTCTGGAGTGATTCCGGAAAGTATTAGGCGCCGGTTGGCAAGAGCCAAGGCTTGGGGACCCCAGAGTGAGTGTTGGGGTAACTGCTGGAGTCTAACCAGCTAAAACTGCATAGCTTGCCATTGATATGGCTGTCCGGCAAGCTTTCCCGCTGCTTTTCCAGCTAGGATCATCCTACCTGTTAGGGCTTTGGGTTAACAGGAGCTGAGTGGGATGATGGTTTGCCCTCCCAGGTCCTAATGATGAACCACTGTGCTGTCATCAGCAGTGCCCTGGAATACTGTGAACTAGCTCAGGAATCAGACTACCGAGACTGCCACAAGGCTCGATTCTGACATTCCATTGCCAGGCATGTCACCTTGGAGCCAGTTCTGTTCCAAGGAGACCTCACTTACCCCCCCCACCCAACCACTCAAGGTGGATAGGTACAGTATATGAGGCAAAGTAGATTTTGACTGCACATTTCTGTACCTACAAACCAATACTTTGTGCTGTGCTAATTATGGTTCTTCATGACACACTCAGGGTTAGATGTTACACACAGCTTAAAGGTGAAATAATTTTTAATCTATCTAAAACAAACAACTTCTGGGAATATCAGTTCCTATATTAGAATGTGTTGTGATGCTGAAGGAGAAACCAAAATATTACACACAATTTCAATTAGAGCAGACTGAATTTGATTGCTTCTGGTCTTATTGAAACTGGTGTATACTCTGGTACAGCTTTGCAGTGACTTACCTGCCACCCAGATATCTCCAGCTCTGATAAGAGAGGAGTCAAGCAAGTACCTTCAGTGGCATAATAGAAGAGTAACAATAACAAATTACATTTGTGTAGCTCCTTTCACATCAGGATGATCTAAGGCACTGCAACACCGTTAGAATTCTATTCTAACATTCCTTCCTGTTCTTGTGTAATGGAGTTGGTACTAATTGATTTCTAGATATCAAGTACTTTGTGGACACTTTTGCAGGGATGGGTTGTTAGGATTGCTCGTTTTTCTACTTTTCTATCTTTTTATACAACATGTAGTCATGTCATTATTTTTTATCTTCACTTTCAGTTACCATCTAATAAGGATGCGTTTAGGAAGACATGGAATCCCAAGTACACACTTCGTAGTCACTTTGATGGAGTTCGCTCATTAGCTTTTCATCCTGTGGAGCCTGTGCTGGTTACAGCCTCTGAAGACCATACCCTAAAGCTTTGGAACTTGCAAAAAACTGTCCCTGCCAAAAAGTAAGGATATTTTAAAGTTGTCTATAGTGTATAATTATATACATTTATAATGTTTCCATGTATATAAGGCACTTTTTGCACACACCTATTACAGAGCTGGATATGATTTCCTCAACTCAACTTTTCTTGCTTCAATTTTTTTCCTCCCCCCTCCTTACTGCTGCTTGCAACCACATCTTGTCCCTCTCGTTACAAGAATGAAGTCTGTAACTGGACCTTAACATGTTTTACTGTCAATATTATTTCAGCATCAGTTAAGAGACGTGATTTAACTGGAGCACTGTGCTCAATTTATGTTGCACCTGCCCCAAAGCAGATGGGGCAGGTGCAAGGTCCCTAAGCAGCAACAAAGCCAATGTCTGTCAAAACTTACCCACCCAAAGCAAGTTAGTTGAGGCTAAAACCGGGAGAATCTGGTCAGAATCCTGTGCTGCTTGAGCTGCCAGCCTGCAGCTCATATATTTCCATGTTACCAAATTCCTGCTAAGATAAGCTTTGACATCTGAAAGCAGTTGAAATAATGCAGAGTTACACACATTACATTAAAAGCTTTGATATCATATCCTAAGGATCAAAAGCCTATGTAGTAATAGTTTGTAAATCTTCCAATACGTAGGACAGTAAAACATGATGTGTACTGCGTGAACAGTATGGTGATTTACTTCAGTCTGCCCTACTCTATTCATGTCTTCTGTCTTGATTCACCTTTTTCTGTCATTCCCCTCTCATCTCTTGCTCTTGACCTTTCTCACAAAACTGTTCTCTACATTTATGAAGCATGAAGTCAAACACAGTTTGCTCTGCCACCTTAGCCAACATTACGTTATCCTTGCTTCTGCAAATGTTATTCCCAAAATAGAGTAAATATTTGGTATAAAACAGTAACTTAATTTTGAAAACATTATTTATAAAATCCATTAGATTACACACACTGTTTTTAACACTTGTTTACCAGGAAGGGGATACATGGTAACATTGCACTACATTAAACATAACCTATTGAAGTTCATGGGTTTTAATTCTATGATTCTGTGATAATCTTAATAGATCTATAGATTGTGGGTAATCTCTAGATCCATTAACATCTGTAGAACTTATTAAATCTATAATAAAGTAAAGGGTATAGAATTGGATTATAATTTCTGCCTGCATAACTATAATAATCTGAAACCATATGGTGTTTTAACTAAAAATGCTGATCTTTGTTTCAGGAGTGCCTCTTTAGATGTGGAGCCAATTTACACATTCAGAGCCCATATGTAAGTGAAATTAGTTTTGTGATTCAAAAATGCATGTAAATACTTATACTCTTATTTTTACTTGGATATTCAGAAAACTAATATATAGCAAGTATAAAGGTTCAGATTATAAACTTAAAGCAGTAAATAAGTAAGAACAAAAATGTGAAACAAAATAACCCTAATGTAAAGACATCTTCATTATTTATCAACTGGTGGTTTGTCTAGAGTAGTGTAACCCAGCAATCTTTATCCTTTATTAGAAAGTTGAGTTTAATATTTGAAAACTTGAACAGACAGCTCTTTATAACTTGAGACTTCCAAACCAAACCCTGAATGACTGATAACTTCAATCTTTCTGTTAATTCTTCCAAATTTAGTTAGGCATTACAAGATCATGAGCTCCATATATTTATGTTCATTCTCCCTGTTGTAACAGTAACTCAACAATATGACTGAATAATGCCTCACTTGCAACAGCCTTTGCTGAGATATAGTAGGATTTTTAAAAAAATCTGTAATTTATGTGGTCACACAGAGCACATAGTACAGTGACAGCAATGTCAATAATAATAATAATCAAATGCAAGGATAAATAAATAAAATTATTGTGTACACTCTTCTAACTCCTATTGTTTGTTTTTTAGTGGACCTGTATTATCTTTGGCTGTCAGTCCTAATGGTGAACAGTGTTTCAGTGGTGGAATTGATGCAACTATACGATGCTGGAACATGCCTAGCCCCAATGTTGATCCGTATGATACATACGGTAGGTACTGATTGAAAAATTGTGTTTTTAAAATCAAAACATTCTTTTCATTTGTTTTTAAAAGGCTTGACATAACTGTTCAACTGTTGGCATGTCTGGCCTACCTCTCTGAAAGCATACCAATTTAGGGTTGTAAACCGCAAATTGGGAAAGGCATCCTTAAGTATTTATTTGTAACCAGGAACTGGTTACCTGGAAGAGTCTTTGTGGTCAGCACACAGGATGTATTTAGGAATGATCTTTATTCTGGAATAGTTTGGTATTTTCAAGCAACGAAATTAGATAAACAAAAAGACTCTCATCCGACTGATAGGTGCTGTTCTAGTAAGTAGGGAGTTATAAATTTCTCTCTCAATTGTAACATGCCCATTTTGTTTAGTGGTTTGAGAATTAGTTTTGTTTGATACATTTTCAAGATTCAATATGAGCAGTTTATAAATATAACAAATGATTCAAGCTCCTAGTTTTGAAAGGTCAGGTAATTCGGTCAGCAGGGTTTATGAGACCGATAAGCCTAAAGCATATGCTACTTTTCCCCATAGCTGGGAAAGAAAAATGTGTGCAATTCCTCGGGTTTGGATTGTAAGCATTTTTTCCAAATATAGCATCTGCCCTTATAGCTTTTGCTGCTGCTTCCTCAAACTAAATTCATAGGCTCAATCAAGTGGAATTTTACTGAAACATGGAAAGATAAGAAAACACTTTGAGTTTGTGTGAACTAAGGTCAGCAGCTATACTTGTTTTATTCTAATACATTCATAATATTTCTTAAGGGTAGCCAACAATACATTTGAACATCATCCAGTGTGCAATTTTCTTATTGTGTAGTTGAGTGAATTTTAATGAATATTGTAAGAATTACCCATTGATAGGAATAATTGCTCAAAAAGTCAAAGAGGGCAAGGGTGGAGAGATAAGAGGATTTTCAATTCATTTATTTATAAATAATCATTTAAAAAGTGAGCATTTAGCTGCATGCACATAATGTAATTCATATTGTGAATCAAATTATTCCATGCACTGGAGGTTAGGTTTGAACTTGCTGATACATCAGCGTACACAGAAATATATTTGAAGCCTAATGTTTTAGCAGCTTTAGGCAGACTGTAGTTCTATTCATTTTGCAAGGATTATTATTTTTATTAAAAATACACGTACAATCTATCACTAAAGAAAGAAAGTTTTAACTGAAATGCTTTTTTAACTGTTAATGTGACTTTCTAATAGTTATTAGTGCCATAAAGTGTAATGCAGAATTTGAAACTGAGGCAGCGCAATGGCAGCTTTGCCTTAGTGAATGCATAACAACATTGCATTCTACATATAAGCCAGATGAAAGTGGTCAGTATCAACAAAATTATGAAGATTAAAAAATCCGATGGACATTATAATCAAGTATTGTCACCTTCTGGTTAAGTTTCCCACATTTTGGGAAAGCTGAAGATTCCAGGACACAATAACAGGGCATAATAATTTTGGATGCCTTATGATTGAAAAAAAATAGCTTTCATGGATAGGCAAAGTTGGTTCCATTTTTCAGCCTGTTTGCAAATTGAAGGATGTAGACAATCTTGCTTAGTTCCCACATATAAACTTGGCATTGACTCTTATTGATTCAAGTAGCTTGTACGAACATACTACAAACAGGAAAATGTTCTTTAGGCCGTCCTACTTTTCAATTAGCCTGACATTCCTGGAGTATTTTTATTTGGAATCCTAAAATAGCGTCATCTTTATAGGGACAAAAAAGGTTGTGACTATTCTCGTTTTGGTTAGCACGCTAAAAACGTTTGTTTCATTATTGCAACATATTACAAATGTTTAAAACTCCAATGACCCATTACCAAGGTCACATTCACTTGAAATCGATATTTGAATCTAAATACCACGTTCATGAGGCTATGGTCCCAAGAATTATTTCAAGTAAACATTAAATAATTCTGACAGATTGTTACTTCTTTTGTTTCTTCTTTGTCTGCAGATCCAAATGTTATATTAAACACATTGGTGGCTCATAAAGATGCAGTATGGGGTCTTTCATTTAGTGGTATAAAGAACAGGTTGCTATCTTGCTCAGCAGATGGCACTATCAGGTTATGGAACCCAACTGAGAAGACACCCTGCCTCAGCACTTACAATGTAGAAAAGGGTAAGTATAATAATATTTTCAGTACTTGAGTCTTTATATTTATAAGCATAAGAGGAAAAAATCAAAGTAGAATACTGTATTCTCTGGATTCTAGTTGAAATATTAAAAAGCTAAATTTAGACTTAAAGCAATGACTCGTTAGGCCATTGTTGACTGATGGATGTATAAAGTCCTCTCTCTGAGTGCAATTGGAGGTATAGCGTTCCAGAATAATTTTAAGATTATGCAATTTTAGTAATGTCCACTCTTTCAGTCACAGTATGTGCGTGTTGGTTGGACCGATTTTCTTTTTTTAAATAGAAATAACACAATACCATAATTTAAATATGATGGATCTCTTGGCAAAGTGCTGAGTGGTATATTGCAGTTTACATTTAATTTATTTTTGAAGTAATGTCCACGCTAAGCAGTTAATCTGTTTCAATTTATTTTTCAGAGAATGGAATTCCTACATCAGTTGACTTTGTAGGTGCGGATCCTGCCCAGGTTGTGAGCTCTTTCAATACCGGCAACACAACAATTTATGACTTGGAAACATCTCAGCCTTTGGTCAAACTAGAATCCCAGGTGGATGCTGGTGAGTGCACGGAAAATAAACAGATATTCAGCATGAGCCTGTTTTAAAAGACTTTGAAGAATTCTTATCAATTTTGACACACATGTTCTTTACTACAGTATCCTTTACATACTAATTAGATAAGCCAAGTTAACCAGTGAGGAGAATGATAAGAAGAGGGACTGTTTCATTTTGTTTCCCCTGACCATCCTAAAAAATATTTAAATCACTAACATTGTGGTATTAAGGGTACTGCTTGTAAGTTTTCATTCCCTTGCTGATTGAATAGAGAACCTTCTTTGGGTGGTATCATTTAATTTTCCCAATTGAATCATCTCAAGTGTTGGTTTGTGGTGGCTTGATGTCATTCGACTAATGAGAGTGGGTTTGCCAGCCATCAAACAGCTGGATCTCAGGCCTGTTTTTATTTACTTTCACTTAATTCCTATCCTGTTGAATCATGAAAGCATAAGTCCACGCATTTTAAAGTTTCACTTTTTTAACGTTTACCCCCTAACCAAAGAGAAATTCTACAAAATATGTTTGCTTCACTTTTTGTAGACTGCCTTCCCCCGCTGCCCTCCATCCTTCCTGACCCCCAGCTCAGGTCCATAACTCTGTCTGTCCAGCGCCTTGGAACGTCCTCCCGACGTAAAAGGCGCTTTACAAATGTAATTTTGTTGTTGCCTCAGCCCTGATAGAATTGTGCATTTCATTTCTACACCTTATGTCATCTCTTGGATGTGAATGAGTGGATAGCTTGAGCACTGACTAATAGTTATGTATCCAGCTATTTGGGGTTGTGGAAAGATGGGTGGATGACTTTCTCTACTGTTTGCATTTCCACCTTATGGAGAAGCATACTTTTCAAAATGCTCGATCACTTCTCTTACAGTACATTTCAGCAATTCAATCTGAAGCCATTTTGTCATTACATTGTTTTTGGTTAGAAATTTTCTACATTCCAATTCACTTACTACACAAACACAATCCTGTTGGAAGATTGCAATAACTGCTTATACAAATAAAAATAAGTTCTGAAATCTTTGGTTGCTTTCCTAGTAAAGAAAATAGTGGAATGGGCTTTGGATAAATAGTATTCCTTTGAATTCATTCATTTAGACAGGACACTAAGTGTTCAATTCACTTCAGCTTTAAAAAGGTCAGTCTGAGGAACACTGCCTTAAGATTGAAATAGGTTCTTCCCTTGCTTAAATAAAACTGTATAATTTATTAGAACGTTTCAATTCTGAGGCTGTTATTGCAACTGAATTTGATTATTTTTGCATTTTTCATACTTTGTCAAAATATCCATCAGCAATTTCCTGATGTAGTTATAATATGAGACAGTGTTGGTATTATTTGTAACTTTCTTATTTTTTGACTAAATTGGTTTTGTTCAGTTTTTGTCTTGCTCTGTTTTTACAGCTTCTCCTTTAGCCAATCAGATCAATAGGGTTGTCAGCCATCCCACCCTGCCTGTTACCATCACTGCTCATGAAGACAGGCACATTAAGTTTTTTGACAATAAAACGGGTAAGTAATTAAAAGTTGAGAACCATACCATTTCTAGGTCTATTAGTTTACCCGAGCCAGCTAACATTAGTATCCTAATTACCCATGCAACTTCTTATAAGTTTTACAATTTCAGTTTCGTTATTCCAGAAAGTCTAAGTCTAATGTGTTTAATATAAAATGGCATTTTCTCAAACTTTAATATTGTAATATTAGCACATTTTGGATCTGACGCACGCTAAAACTGTGGGTCTGCTTTATAGTTCTTAATGTGTCAAACTGCTTCAATGGCTGATTATAGTATTCTCTTAACTAATTCATGTTCATGTAATCTGTCGCTTTTGCTTTGTCTCTCATACAGGATGCAGAGAGTAAGCCTATAAATATGTATGCTAACATTACAAATATCAAAAAATATGATCACCTATTATCCTTTCTGAGTAATATTTTATTTAAACAATTGTGCAAACACTTACTGTAATTGTGGTGATGTTTTAGTTCTGAAAATTATCAATAGTACAGAGGATTATATACCCTCTTGCCCACTTTTTCCAGTCAAATGGAAATCATGCATATGTAGAACTTTCATTAGTTCGGAGGCTCCTAAGCATGATGATGTGTTCCATATGTGTCAGATACTTGGCTGAACAAAAACAGATCTAGGTGTGTGAAATAAATATGGATTTATAAACGTTAAAGGTTTTTTCTTAAAAATTATGATTCTTCAGACTGAAGCAGGAATACTTTACTTAGTTTGGTAAGTTAGTTTAACAAAATGACAGCCAAGTTAGTAGTTATTAAAAAATTTGCGAGGAATATGAGTATAAAGTTACAAAATCTTCTCTCTCTCTGAACACATGATTCATTTTATTTAGGTAAATTGATTCATGCTATGGTCGCTCACCTGGATGCTGTAACAAGTCTGGCAGTGGATCCGAATGGAATCTATTTGATGTCGGGAAGTATGTGACTTGTTCTTTAATAATATGTCTAGTAAATTGAGATATAGTATTTTTCCGTAAGTTTAGATTGTGTTCCTTTTTGTTCTAAATCAACCTTCAAAGTTTTCAAAATATCTGAAATCTCAACAAATAGTACATTCTTCACCTATAACTGCATTGTTTCTAAAGATATTTCCTTAAAAGCCTTTAAAATACCATTTGCTGTTTATTAAATGTTCTGGCCAGTTTCTGAATGTGTTTTTGAATTCAACATATCTATCTAAAAACGTGTGACTAGTTATTCACACTAAACTATGCTTAATAACTGAAAAAGTAACATTATTTTCTTTCCAAATGTACCCAGGTCATGACTGTTCTATTCGCTTATGGAACTTGGATAGCAAGACATGTGTTCAAGAAATTACTGCCCATCGGAAGAAGTGTGATGAATCTATTTATGATGTAGCCTTTCATCCATCCAAGGCGTATATTGCTAGTGCAGGAGCAGATGCCCTTGCTAAAGTGTTTGTGTAACAATTGCTAAAAACGTCTGCCTCCATAACAGCGGTGAGCTGGAAATGAACAGGAATCATTTCACTGCCATTAGTTACCCGGTTATCGTGCGACACTAAGTACCGTATGTTCTGCCTGAACAATGGTCTTCATTGTAGACCAGTATGGGCAGGTGCTGAGTGGTCAAGTATCAGCAAATCCTCGAATAATGTCAGGCTAACTCATTTACCTGTAATTACTGTAATTAAAAAATAAACCAGTATTTGTAGCCTTGACTGGATTTGAACTGAGCTAATTTACTGTTATGTAGGTGTATTCAAAGTCATGTGGAATTTATTCTTACAGCAGTAAATTCTTTGGGCTCTTGTGTCCTGCCTTATGGTTAGGATTGTGGTGCAATGGTGGGGAGTGAGCTTTCAGATAAACCATAGAATGCCATCCTTCAATTCCTTTATTAGTTTTGCAGCACCAAGCATACTTTTAATCAACTTTCAACATTAAAAAGAAAATAGAAATTAAAATATATTTTAACCTTAATTTTACAGAATTTTTTGACAGGATGTCTAGTTTTTATAAGTCTTTTGTATATTTTTCCTGTCAGAATAATGCTCCAAACAGGGTTAATACTGAATGTTTCATTGGCTTTAAACACAATCAAACCACCCTCACTGACCCACTATTATGTAACCTCATTCTTCCATTCTCCAGCTTAAATAGNAAAAAAATCCTCAGTGAGTCCTTCCACGTGGATGCTACTTTAACATCAGTAATAAAAGCTGTTAAATGTAATCATTGAAAACTGTAAAATGTGTTGAAATGGAACACAGAGGGTTTATTGCCCATTATTAACTCTTTTAAAAAAATTATAGCATCCTATCACTATGTGATATTTTGTACATCTTACTGTATTTACAAGTTTATTTATCAAGGGTTAGCCATCTTAATGCTATTGGCCTACTGTTATTTATTTCACTTTTCTGTTGGTCTTTATATCCTACATGTATTGTGTGTGTTAACAGACCCTGTATATCTTTGTCTAACATGGGACTCTGGGAGAAGACTAGAGAGTTCTAAATATAGGCTTAAGATGGAACATTGTTTATATCACAGCCCAAGATTTCCTGTCCGATTTACTTGTTTTTAGGGGTTGACCCTAATCCGTGGAACTGAAGAATTTGTGTGAAATCTGGAGTGAAAAAGGTTTTATTTTGAATTAAAATATAGGATACAGAAATAGCCAAATCAAGATTCAGAAATCTGCTGTGTTTGGTCTAGCTACCCCTGCTTTACAGAAGTGCTTCACTTTATGGTGTAACTAAAGATTTTGTTTGTGTAATGCATGATTAATACAATAAAGTATTTTTTCTAGTCTTCCACGGAAAGATTTCTGATGAGTTTGCGAGTTCTGATGAGTTTTGTAAGGTTTTTGTTTTAAATACATGATTAAGTAAATTTTTAAGATTGTACCACATAGCTAAAATACAGCTGTTTAAAAGTAATGTATATAAAATGCATATAATAAATATTAAATGGTGTACCTGTAAATTAGTGTTTGTTACATTACTTGAGTTGTATAGCTTCAAAAATGCTTTCCTTAGTATTTTGTGGAATCCCGAGTGTCCTAATTGTGTAAAATAAGATCATGTTGAAATGATGTCCCTTCTTTTATCATCTATCTACTTAGAAAGGGGATTTGGAAATAAAAATATATCTTCTGGGTGTAACTGCATTTTCATTTATGTACATTGATAAATCTATTTTAATGAAATTGTTGTATACTGTAGTGGTTTGGAGAAGCACCATCTGTTCTTTTTGAAAAAAAAGCAAATTTGAAATATCCCTCACAAATTCTTAAAAATTGTTATAATCTGCTCCAGTCTTTTCATAATGTTTGGTGTAAAAATTGGGTTCCATAGAAAAGAAAACCAATTTCAGATGACAGTTCACCCTTCATTATAAGTGTGGATAAACTGAAGATCAGTTACCTTTGCTGTTTTCTTTGTGTCCAAAGATGCAGGTAATTCACTCAAGCTTTTGCAGATAGTGGTGTTGCTGTTCTAATCTAAGGTATGCATGTTTTCTTATTTGGTATAGTAAATGTGTTCTGTTGCCAATTTTATAATGGTACTCAACCATTATAGCAAGACCTAACTGGAAAATTTATAGAATCCCACAATACTGCTATCTACAGCCACAACTGTAGGTGATTAGCACAAATACTGTCTGTGTGGAAATAAACTGATCAAGAGATTAATCTCTGTTGTTCAATTCACAATTTTGAGATTTAAAGGAAAATAAAGCTTTTAAGTATTGAACCTTTACTCTCTGCTAACACATTTTCTCCAGGTTATTGGGAGGCAAAAAGATTAATGAAGAAGATCCCAGATTCAATTGTTAATGATGTCAGCCTAGTGACACTAGAGGGGCTACCATTGACTAAAGCTTGCTGCAATGGAGAGTGCAAAATTAATTGATTCCTCTCCCTAACTTGGTAATTGATCCCTCATGGGGATTTGGACAGAATCAGACTTGCCTGTAATGCTCTCATCTCCCACCTCTTCATGTCATGGTCAAAAAGCGTGATGCATCTTTATGAATAATGGCACTTGAATGAGATACAAAAGATTATCAGTGTTCGTTGATCCATTAAACAGGAAACCAGAGTCACATATTTTCAAAAAATAAACTGACAACATTTTTTTTAAAAAGCGAAAGCCAGCTGTTAACTAGGGTTAGGCAAATTTAAAATCACCTATGCATTGTAATCATTACCATTTAGTAACTCCAGATCTGAGATTAAGGTTTACAGACCCTTGCATGAAGCACTTTATGCAGAAGGGGATGCTACCCATTTTACGGTAAACCATGCTCCAAACCACTTCCTCATTATTGGATAAATGAATTTGATCCTCCCTCCGTTTGCTAACTTAGAATATGCCATTGTTTAACACAAGAACATGTTTAGTAATGCGACCTCATCTTACCACAATCCATTGATAACTGTCCTCATTCACAGCATGTGTAATAGATGAGGGTTACCGCTTGCATTATCTATTCATCACTCTTGCTCGTTGTCTATAACCCTCTTAGAGGTCAGATTGGATTGGTGTAGAATTTTAAACAATTTTATAATTTATCATTTAACCATGTGGTGTGGGCTGTGATCTGTATCCATTTCTTGGTAAACATTCTATATTGGACTCGGGGGGCTTTAGTCCACTTAACTCTAATGGGTACTTTAGGGTTGTGGCAGGATGTAATCAGTGCTGTGTAGTTCCATCTTCTTGGAATAACAAACCTATCTTATTTATCCTGGCCCTCTGCTACATGTGTAATTAAATCTAGACAAGTCAGGAGGCTTTTAATTTGTCATTATAGGTTCTGGTTAGTGGTTTAAATCTGATAGGTTTCTGGATTGCATTAAGAACCATTCATAATTTTCACAATGGTGTATGTTTATATCCCTACCAAAAAAATCAAAGTGAGTAGATACCCAAACGATAAGAGTTGAGCTAAACTTTGTGTTTTTACAGTTTGGTCTTGCTGATTTTGGAATATTGTATTACTAGTTATCACATTTTTAACATGACTATATATATTATAATTCTCACAGATACGTTGATCGTTTTAACTGCTGTGTTCATAAGATTTTTCCATTATTATAAATGCACAAGCTTGGTAAATTTACCAAGCAGTGGAAAATGAAAGATTATTTTCTGCCTGTAAATGACTTTGGCATGTATTAAAAGGGGATTTTCGGTGAAGTATCCAGGAAATTGTCAGCAAGCAGCTCATTTCACCAATCTGACACATATTTTATATTTATTAGCCAGTGAAGACTTGTTGGCTAAAAAATTATTTTGAAGAAACTAACCTAGGGTGGTCCGTAGGTCTCATTTGGCCCGGGGGATGATTCCATCTGGCCCGAGAACATAGTCACATTGTGTGTCTGGAACCCAGGCTTAGACTGACCCAGCGGGAAAAACAGCTGTGCAAGGCGCTGGTTAGCAGCAGACCTGTCAGTCACTTTCACACAAGTAACAAGAAAGATAAAAGAACAGACACAGAGCAAGAGATACAGAGACACACACACACAACGAGAGATACACAGAAAGATACAGAGACACCCACACACAGAAATACGGAGACAGATACCTTGTCACTGGCTATATTGGTTTAAAATTTCTATGAATTTTTACATTTCCTATTTAAAGTTAGCATTTAACTAAAATATAGTGAAAATTAAGCAATACAGTTAGAATACATTAGAATATACAGCACAGAAACAAGCCATTCGGCCCAACTGGTCTATACCGGTGTTTATGCTCCCATGAGCCGCCTCCTGCCCTTCCTCAGCTAAGCCTTCAAGCATAACCTTCTATTCCTTTCTCCCTCATGTACATATCCAGCTTTCCCTTAAATACATCTATGCTATTTGCCTCAGCAACTCCTTGTGGTTGCATGTTCCACATTCCCACTACTCTTTGTGTGAAGACATTTCTTCTAACATCCCTATTTGATCTATTTGTGACTATTTTATATTGTAGGCCCCTGGTTTTGGTCTCCCCCACGTGGGAACATCTTCCCTATGTCTACCGTATCAAAACCTTTCCTAATGTTAAAGACCTCTATCAGGTCACCCCTTACTCTCTCCTTTTCAAGAGAAAAGGGTCCAAGCATGTTCAGTCTTTCCTGATAGGTATAACCTCTCAGTTCTGGGATCATCCTTGTGAATCTCCTTTGGACAATTTAAAACCCAGGATTTCTATATGAATCTTACAGGTTATGTTTTTGGAAGGGAAACACAAAAATATTGATGATGCAGCCTACAGACATTTCTCAAACCCAGCATCAAATCTCAGCAGCCAAAAGATTAGACCACCCTGCTCTAAGCCAATAATATTACAAAGTACTTAATAAATCTACCACCAATTCTGTGGAGGAGAGGTATGGATAAATACTGGGGAAAAAGTATTCAGGTGTACTCAGAAAGAGAAGGGGTATTAGAGCAAAGAGTTGCAGTGAAGTTGCTGGCATCAGCACAGATATCAGGGACCGAATGGCCTTGTGTACTGTAAATGATCTATGATTCTAATCATTTTGTGACTGCTTGACTTCAGTAAGATATAAGATTGGTTAAAACTTTCTGGTTGGCTTCTAAACTTTTCAACAGACAGGAAGCTATCTCCTTACCTAATGTTCTCTACTGTATTACAATTCCCTTTTGGAAACTTAGTCAAAGATATAAATTAAAACTTGTATTGAAATAGTTGTTCATTGAAGTTGTGTTTATGACAAATTATTGCTCTTGGCAGCTTATTGGATTTTTCATAGAAATTTATCTTTTTCATTTGTTAATTTGTGCAGACAATTTGGTTTCACTCTGCTACTTCAGTGAAAGCAGTTACCTGCTTTTTGCCTTATAAAATGTCAAATTAATAGGTCTCTAGGATTCCTTGTTCATTTTGACTAAGAAGTCAGTGTGCACAAGGAACCCAAGAGATATTAGCATTTAAAAGGCAAGAAGCAGGTAAGCTGCTTTCTTTAAACTGCTTACATCAATTGCTAATACGATTTTTTAGATAAGGCTTGCGGTTCTAAACCATTCATATTCTATTCTAAATGACTATTTTATTGCATTTCTCATTAAATTATTTTATTATTTTCTCTTATGGGGAAACCTTACTCATTTTCAGGTTGATATCTGCTTTGGAGATATTCAAATGTTTGCTTTTTAAGGGGAAAATTGTCCTTTGTACCAAACTCAGTAGAAATTCCTCAGCGCATATCAAAGTGGTCATGCTAGCATGTGTTCTGCCATTGAAGTAGAATGTGCCAGCTTGCTACAGGATTCAGAGTTTGTACACATCTGTATAACTCATATCCTGTGTCAATGCCAACTAGTTCTTGGAGCATTGTCAGTCCCCAAGATGTCCAAATATCTGTCAAATGCCTGTTTAAAATCTCTTCACAAAGTTCTGATTACTTTTAATTGTGATGGTTTGGTTGTCAAGTAAATAGAAAAAGACAAGCCATCTTTATTGAGGTCAAATTAAAGTATATGAGTTGTTTATACAAAGTGGTCAATCTTCAGGACTCTTAATATGTCGACACCTGTTTTTTTTATTGTCTCAAGATGCAGCCTTGAATCAAAGTAATTAGAAACAAAAGATAAGTTGGCTGATCGAATCTGCTTCACCATAAACTACAACCTCTCCTACTTCTACCACCTCCTTCAAACCATTTCCTTTAATATTTTATCCTCGCGTATCTATCCTTTTCATAATTTTAAACACTTTGAGAAAACCATTCCTTTAGAATACATCCCCAACACTCATAGGCAGTCACAGTGAAACTGCTTACTATTGTTTTCAATGTAAAACATTGACGTTCAGTTCTTTTACCTTAAGTTTGAATCAGACTGATTCACAATGTGGAATAAAATGGGATATAGTATATATTGGTGTTCCATCATTTTGGTTAATTTTATATTTGTACCTAAATTATGCAATCTTAAAAATACTTATGTCTCTAACTTTATAGATGTATGTATTGCTGTATCAAACTATCTTAAAATATCCTAATATGATGTGAAATTATATTTAGATTATAGAATTTGAAAATAGTTTCCTGATAATATTATGTAATGTATAATAATCCTTGCATTTGATATAGTGCCTTATCATGTCTTTCAGACGTCTCAAAGCACTTCACAGAAAATACTGTAGTGACTGTGTTTTGTGGGCGAATGTTAATGAGTGTTAGTCATTTCTCTAGTGCTATAGGGAATCACTTCATACATATGGCCCTGAATACATCTGCCACATAAAGAAAAAAAGAGAGGAACTGCTCCTTTAATCTACCAAACTTACTTTATTATGAACATATTTAGCAATCAATTAATTAGGTTATTGTAACGTTTGGCTGCATATGTAGTTTACACATAACCAGTCCTATTCCAAAAGTATACATAGGAATTACATAGTTTCAGTGCTAAGAAAAATAAACCATGCCACCATAGCTATTTAAATTGCGTTTAGGAAAAAAAAATTGCTTCACATAGTAAGAATACAACAAATGGTGATGTATACTGAGTGTAAAACAGTGCTCCATTCCTGGTGGCTGCTTAGTGCTGGGATTTATTTTTTCTGCACTTGGACATCAGTTCCCCAGGCTCGTTTTCTGTTCAGCAAAAAACAATACATTTGCAATTGTTCTGAATTGCCCAGAACCAAATCCATAGAAAAATACAATGTCCCACTTTCTTAATCAAATCTCATAACACTCTGAGGATTCATTTCATTTTAAATTGCAAGGTATTTGCAAATTAACTTAGGAAACAACATTTTGTCAAAAGGTGCATATTTAAAACACATTATAAGCTTCCATCTTACATTGCCAGTTTTGAGTTGAGGTTACTTGTCACCAAAATCAAATAGCCAACACAGTGCTTTTTGACAGATCACTCACTGAACCAGTATTATCAATTTTTTAAAATGTGTTAAACATAACAAGCTGTGATATAAAGGTACTTTCTTACATCATATCTTGGAGAACAAGACTTCCCTTTCCTGTTGGATAATCTGTATAGTAGTAGAAAAGCACATGCAGTTCTGTATATTAGTTGTGTCTACGTTTCTACAAAATGTTGCACTAGCATGTTTGTTAGTATTGTCATAAGAGATTTAATATGTTGACATTAAGGCAATTTCTTCTCTTTGGATAACAAGTGGAAGTATCCACTTCTTCACTGCTGTTTTGCTGAATAATCTGTGCAAATGCCTTTAATGATGTCAGGTACAAGCTTGCTGACCATTGGGAAATCTCGCACAAAGAAAGAGTGGGATTCTTTGGGCTCGGATGCCATTGCTTTGAGTTCTGCTTCTATTGCCCATGAAATGCCAACAGAAAATATTGTGATACCTATAAAAGAAAGTTGTTTTTGAAAAAAAAATCAGCAACTAATATAAACAGCACAGTGTGAAAAAACACTCTTCTAAAACATGCTCCACTCCTTGCAAACATTTTTACTGAAGCTGACTGTAGACATCCTTTACACAGGAATTAACAGCACTTATCTCCACTCGTTTAGGCTCAATCACTGCAGCACTAGGTGGTGCCAGGATTCAAGCCATTCCCAGAATTCCCACATGAGAACTTCCCAATTTGGACCTTGCTGTTCAAGGGAAGGCAACGAAGCCAGGTGCTTTCCGAATAACGGGAAAGTGCACAGGAATTAAGCCTTGTGTTTGTATTGTCAAATCTTCAGGAACTGATAGCCTACAGACCACTTCAATTGGTCAATGATACGTAGCAGAGAATGAACAAAAAAAAGAAACCGGAATATTAAAAAATACGATTATGAACATGGTGTTGAATATGCAACAATTTCTAATGGGATTCCTTAATAAGGGAATAGGAACTCCTGGTAACTGGAAGTATGTCTCACCAGTTCTGCAGAAGCACAGAAATGACCCTCTGAATGTAGATCATCTCAGAGCAAAGCACCCATGATGTACTTCTGATTTCCTTATTAAAGATTTATAAATTGCTGCCTAATTGGGCCCCAGTGTGTATTGATTTATTGTAAGGAACATACTTACTGCTGTGCCTATCTTGATTTTGAGAGGATTTTATTGTCTAATAGATGTTACCTGACTGGTGAGCTTCAGCAGCTGGACCCCTCACATCATCATAGGATTGCCCATCAGTGATAACAATCAGCACTTTCATGTTCGTGTTCTTGACTTTGCCAAACAGGTTCTTTCTGGTGTAAGTGAGCGCTTCACCAGTGGCTGTACCTCCGCTCCAGTAACGGATACGACTGACAGCAGAGAGGGCGTCTTCCTTCGTCAAATTTTGCTCAAATTCGAATTCAGTTCTCTGCTCATATGTGAACTGCACAGCCCCAACTCTTGCCCCGATTTCATAAATATCGAAAGCTTCCACAATTTCAGCCACAAACTTCAGAACGGTTTGATAGTTGGCATCGCCAACACTGCTTGACCCATCGATGAGGAAACCTAAATTGACTGAATTGAAGCATGTTCTACTGCAAACCATCTGCTCGTAGGAGCACATTCTTTGTGCTAAAGGTTTGAGATATTTGTACATGCCAAACCAGTTGGGGATATTGTAGGAAAATAATCCATTGTTTCTACAAACACTCTGGGGAAAGAGGGGAAAAAAAAACAATCAAGTCAAACCAATTCACAGTTGCGAGAGTAAAGTTCTTGTGCAAGACAATTTTATCTGGGTGTTTGAGAAATCAAGTACTGAATCCAGACAACGTCTGGGGTAGATGTAATGCAGTAAAGCTAAATCTAAAATGTATCACCACAAAACTGGTATATCTAGAATTATATGACCCACTGAATAACCAATTTTAATTCAGATATTTTGGTGCATCTTTTGAGCAGACATTTAATTAAATCAGACTTGTGTATTTGTGAACTAGTTAATGCAGAATTTAAGCAGAAAGCAACGGGCCCTATTTTGTACTCTATTTGAAGAGCAGCCAGAAATCTACTCTTACCTTTTCAATGTAATTGGGGTCTGAGACCATCTTCTGCTCTTCAGGAAGGGGCTTTGCAACGGAGACAATGAAAACATTGATGCCGGATTTTTTGGCCAGATGTGCAGCTTCTTCCATATTGTCTGTGGGCCACCCGTCCACCAGAACAATGACAACCTTTGGATATCCGGCACGTATGCCTTTCTCACGAGTGAAAAAGGTTTCCGTTGTGTAGATTAATGCTTTACCTGGTGTATGAAGCCAATACTTTCAATAGATTTCTGAGAATAGTTCCAGAAACTCCCACATGAGGAACACTTTCAATCAATTCCCTACCCCCACCATGTTTCTACCTGCTCTAGACTTATGGCAATGCCCCCTGTAATCAGGCACCAGGAGAAACTGTACCACTCAGACAGGACTATTAAGTCACAATTCAGTTTTGCTGAACACATCCTCCCCTAAAATAAAAACAATTTTTCCTGTTCACTGTTCTGAAATCAAAAGTCCCATCATGTTGTCAGCTATTCTTACTCAATGTTTCCCAGAACATTAAGACTACAGCCCTTACCTACAATCTATGAAGCTCTAATGTAAATCAAACCTTTATTGTGCCATAGAGTAACATCATATTTCTCCACAGAGTAATTCCTTGCTACAGCTAGACTACATGCAAGACATACCAAACAGAGAGGATGTACTCCCGGGGGGATCATAGTGTAGAAAAAGTCTACACTTCCCAAGAGCTGGTTAGAATGTCATTATCATACAGCATGGTCCTCTCTTGGTTGTCAGAGAGTAGTGGATGCTGTGGGTGAATCTAATGGGAGAAAATAATAATGCATGGTGGAATGAAGTACAAGGAACATGCATTAAACAACTGAACCTCATTCAAACCAACCAGATCTTGTCATCTGCAGACAATGTAACTTTTTTGCTGAGGTTATATCATGTACCTGTGCATTGTGAGGAGGGAAAGAAATGTTCTGTTTCAGCACTCATTCCACCCTGCTATTCAGATATTACATTCATGTACCTGTGGTAGAAGGGTTCTGCTAGTAAGTCAATGGTATGGTTTCAATACATGCTTGCTTGGATTTTATGTAGTGCATGAGTGACTGAGTCACTCTCTCCAACGGTTATGTTGGAAATGGGTACAGATAGTGCTGGTCCAGTGCTACTCCAATGCTAAGCACCCACATGGACTTGTATGGAGTCGAGGTGAAGCAGTTAATTGCAGAGTGGATCAGCCACTCTACGCTAGGAGCATTCAAAGATCCCTACAAACACAAGTATAAAAAGACAAGAATATATAAAGACTTATCTGAAAGAGTCACTCACCGACATTTGTGCTCCCTCCTCTAAAGGTTACATTTTTGATGGCACTAATGACGCCCTTTGAAGTTGTAAAGTTCTTGAGATTAAACTCATTTTTAGGGTTATCGCTGCATGAACATAAAGAACACAAAGCAAGTATGGAAACACCACTCTTGTGATTAGTTGTCACACTTCATTTTTTTTAAAAAAGGCTCTGCTTTGGACTTTCATTATCAACAGGAGAGGAGCTGGTGATCAAAAGTCTGATCAGACAGATTAAATTTAGGTCTGAATAAATTGTTCTGATCAAATGGTGGTAGCATTTCCACATTGTATATCTGAGCTAGATACACAATGTATGTCTTTAGCATACAGTATTACATTTTTTATATCTCGTATTGCAAGGTCATATTTGGTGGCTAAAATTACAATTATTTCTATATAAAGGCAAAATTGCTACATCAGCTGTATTGAGGGTAAATACCTTTGATATCACAAGAAGACGTAATCAACGACAAAAGAAGAGATTCTGCGCTGTTTCTCGCTACTTCTGTTTACCTGATTTGTACCATTCCTACAAGGGGTCCCTCTGGTCCAATGCCAAGCAACTGAGCAATCCGAATGACAAAGTTCTTCTGCAAGTTAAACCTGCGTTTACCAAGGTTCCAGCTTCCATCGAGCAAGAAAACAATATCAGCCTTGCAATCTGTGATAGAAAAAGGATTATTTTCCAATCTGTTCGATGGTTATGTCTTAAAACATACAGTCTTAAAAGAAGGTGGGAATCCTTACCCTTGTTTCCACGTGCTGAATGATTTTTCCCAGATCTTTTCTTTGTCTTTTTTGCTAAAATATTCCAATAAAGGACAATATTACTTGCAATGCTATATTATTCACAGTTTGAGACGATGTACAGAAACAGAATTAACAAACTGCGACAGCTCCTTAGTTCCCAGTCTCAACGTGAAGGTCTGGAATAACCACCAGAACACATGTAGTGCATCTCTGTTCATGGATTTCACACCGGCCACAACTCTGATTTGCAGTTAGTGAACTCTGGCAAGGAACAATGATTGTCATCCAATCCACTCGTCTGCATAGTTTTGGATGTACTGAATCCAGGAGCAACAGGCAATTTTTCTTCATCGCCCATTAAACTGGATAAAAGCACTGTTAACCTGACTTCTGCTATATTTTATTGACATTGGGCTAGTGCTGAAAAAATTATCTGCATATACTAGAAAAAGGGAAAATACTGTATAAGTTTAAGATAAGCATTAAACTTGGACAAATTCATGTCGAGATGAATTGGTCGATCAAGCAATACAATCAATGTACCTAATAATATCAGGGCCGACTTAAAGACTGACAAGATGGGAGATCATGAAATTTGAAGTGAAACATCACAGACCTGAAGCTGGAATTGCTGTTGCTCTTGGGGGCCCAGATACTTCAAGTGCTATCGTCTGGACCTCTGCAGAACCAATTAAAGTAAAACTTCAGTGTCCAACTAAAAGAAATGCAACACATCAAATGGCAGTTTTCATCTGCATGAAATACATTTACCTTGTGGGAACAGGAGGAGGTTATTCATCGCATTAAGCCTGTTCTTGGCACATAATTTGCTGTTGTTCTACGTCCCTCGTGTGTATTTATAAAGTACAAGTTCAAATCCTGAGATAGGTTTCTCTGATTTACAGGCTAATGTCTTGGTGATTGGTATGCTTCATGATAGCCAACCTTATGTGTATGTATTACTAAGCGATGCCTTTTCACGGATGATAGCATATTGCTTCTTTGTATAGTAAAGGCACACCTGGAGTGAAAAGGTATAAATGCATTTCACTTGTTCATGAATGATATGAAAGTCTGGAGAGGAAAACAGCACCACCTACTGGAAACAGAAAAGGAGCCGATCCATTGAGAGAGTGGAAGAGATTGCACGCCATTTGCGAATGAAGACTGATAGCTTGCTTTTCCTTCTAATTTCTGAACGTGAACTGCTCCACCCGAGCTGGGAATCACACCACTGGAAGAGACCATAAAAAGCAATTAATTAGTTTACTGAGTACTAGTTTACTGGAGGAGAACCTTAAATACATCAACCTGGACAGGTTCTAATTTCCATTGAGGTTAAATTGAGGGAAATAATATCTGGATGGTACAAATCACGACGCACTTGCTGTTTAATTAAAGACCATCAAATAGACAGTAACTAAATGATACCATCATTATTAATAGCAGCACTTCAGTTTATCCTGACATTTGATATTACTGCCATAAACAAACTCTTTGCATTGTTAAAATACTGAACTCTTCCAGATAAACTTTCAATTGAGTGTCAGTCTGCAGGCAATGGTAACATTTTAAGGTCAAATTGCTTTCCAACTTCCTGAAACCAACTTCACAAAATTTTTACAGTATGTTTAAGATCAATTACATTTTATTTACTTTGTTTTTTAAAAAATCATTTTTCAGAGGTCATAAGAAGGGAATTTACAATTGAGAAATTGGATTTTTTTTATGGCCTAATTGTTGTGTAATTTACTTTAAATTTTGTAAAGAAAACAAAAACAAATTCAATTTGATCTATTGCAGTGAACAGAGATATGAACTTTTCCCCTCCTGAAGGCTAAATCCAACACTCAGACCATAATATAATCTTTAGTGGTACAGCAGTTAGATGTACGGGCCATTGCATTAGGGAGACATCTAGAGGGTGACAACGGCACTTCAAACCACACATCAGACTCAAAAATTCATTTTCAATGGCGTCTGACTAACATTCTGCAAAATAGACTCCTTCTGAGTCTATGTGACCTGTACATCCCCTGCTGAATAGTCTAATTTAATGCTTCTCCTGTTTTTCTGTATATTTAGTTGAAACATTGGGTAAACAGCTTGGAAATGTTACTGAAGCCAAGGAAAACTAAAGTACTAACTTTGTCATTCAGCTGTGTATGTTACTTCAATCCCTAGTGACACCTTTAATAGCAAAAATACTTAACATATTATTTTCAGAATATGGCAAAGTCGATCATGTCTTTTCTGCATATTTTTAAAAGGCATGTTGTTTCTCATGGCAACACTCCTTCCTTAACATGAAATTCGATTTCGATTCGGCTTCAGAGCTAGCCAAAAAGGAAAATAATGTAATATTTTTATTTTTAACATTTTACAATAACAGCTTTGAACAGCTTGTTATTTCCGTTTCTGTGGCAACCAAAGACAATTCTGAATATCATTTCCCATGTATAATGTTACAGTAATTGCCAGGAGCAGCAGGGGGAAAAGGAGCTCAGGGTGTCTATTGCCAGTGGAAAACCCAAACAAGCATCCATCAATTGTGAAAGAATAAAATGTCTCACACATACGATACTGAACATTGTGCTACTGGCAAAAACACTGTCTGAACAGAAAATGGAAGATTATATCCATTGTGTATAAAATTGTATCATTTATATATGAAATCGAATCGTATATAAAAAGGTCTGTATAGAAGTGAACGCTCTTCTGCTTTTTAAAAAAAAATCATCCTAGCTCTAAGACTCTTGACACTCTCTACATTCCATCTATAACATATTTCCATGGTTATGTATTAGATCCTATTCCAATTCTTTCATCTGAAAGGCCATCGCTGGGAAAAAAAAATGAACTACCTGAAGTGACTGACAATAGCGATTGTCTAAAACACGGACTATTCAAGATTATAGATTGTATATGTAAATAGATTGGACTAGTCCATGCCAATAGGACAATTCCCACCGTTTCAATTGAGTGAACTTCACACAAAAGCTTCTGTAAGAATACTGCTATTGAAAAGAAAATTGGGATCCAGTTCACTCTTATATCAGTAACATAGAGCAGACAGTTTGTGTGAGTTGGTGAAGTCTAGTTTGCCAGAAATCCACCTCATCAAACTGATCCTTAAAGATAATTATAAAAATCCTTGCATTTGGTATAGTGCCTTATCATGTTATTAGAGACATCTCAAAGCACTTCACTGAATGTACCGTAAAGTGAATTGACTGTGTACACAATTGCGCATAGGAGTGTCCAACAAACAGTTGCGGATTGGATGACCATTTTTTTATTTTTGGGGGGAGGAGTTATTACCCCCAGAAAGTGATCAGCCAATTGACTGATTCAAATGAAGTCGGATTATATGACTCAGCCATCACTATACTGGGATCTAATCAGATTTATTTTACATCAGCTTCACCGGTACGCTTCAGGCCAGCACCGTCTGTCCAGCATTGTCTGTCCAGCACCGATAGTCCAGCACCGTCTGTCCAGCACAGTCTGTCCAGCACAGTCTGTCCAGCACTGCTTAATCCCAACATTTGTGATCCTCTAATCAAACACTCTGCTGACCTCTCTTGCTCCCTCCAGTGGCCTGTCAAGAGAACTGCAATACATCCTTCCAAAGCTTACCTTTAGAAGCATTTGACCATGAAATCAAACAGTTTTGCTCTGCAAGATATTTGGACTGTTCCACTGTTTAATACTATACAAATGATGTTTAAGAGGACATTCATATTTGTGATCTTAACTTGTCCATTTATTAATCAATCAATCAATCCAGAATTCACTAGTTGATGACTGAGGTATGGGAAATCCACATTTATGACTTTGTCCAATATTTAAAAAAAGAACAATTGGACAATCTGAGTTTTATAAATTTCACCCTTTTTTTTTAAATCTTAGAATTTTCTAGACACTTCTACGGAGATCCACAGAATTACCAGAAACTGGGTGTCAATACAGAGGAAAAGCAGACTTGTGTCACCGGCAATGTTAAAGAAAGTTCTGTGCTACGCCTTAATGAATCCTTACACAGTTCCCTTTCAGTTCCACTAATCTTAGAGCCATGTTGATGTACATAGAAGTGTTCATTCCAATGACAAAACCTACTTATGCTTGTATTTATTTTTCAGTGAGCTTAGCAGCTGGATGTAAGCCTACAGTGGTTGCTAGCAAAGAATAATCTGCAATATGTTAAAAATAAGTACACTATTACCAAACCCTATATTTCCCTTTTTCAGTGCCTTGGGACATCCTCCTGATGTGAAAGGTGCTATACAAATGTAATTTGCTGTTGTTTTAACCATGTGTATTACTGAAACAGAATAAAGAAGCCAGTGGGATATAAAGTACAGAGGTTCAGCTCACCTGCGGTTGGCAAGCTTGCTTTACATGTTGGCAGTAGATTTTTACATCTCTAAGATGCCAAAGTATATAACCATACCCCATAAAGGAAACACACAAGTTCCAATGCAACTTTTATTGCAATGTGTGAAATGAAGGCTCTTGAAAATAGCATGCTTGGGAGACTGTAGCTTCTTGAGAGCTGCTGTAACCAAAAGGTTAAATGCCAACTGAAAATGAACCTTGAGTAGGAAATAAATACAGGGAAATATCACTAAAGGTCCAATGTCTCAGCAGCCATGTTACAGGGCAAGAAAAAATATCCAACTTCTGGTTGTCAGGTCATTGCTACTGTCACTTCTTTCACATTGTGCGCAGGAAGCGTTACTAACATTTACTTCTTGCAGGAGGAATATTTGGGGCTTCCCTTTAAACAACAACAAATTACATGGTATAACACCTTTCACGTTGGGAGGACGTTCCAAAACGCTGCAAGTCCTGTAGCTCAGTGGTTAGAGCACTCGCTTTGCAAGCGAGAGACCTGAGTTCAATTCCAGGCAGGGCGAAACCTTGGGCAAGTTTCCTTACTCCACACACCTAATAATAATCCCTCCAAAACCAAAAACAATGATAAATTGGTCATTTTCCATCTACGACTGTTTGTGGGACATTGCTGTGCGCAATTGGCTGCCGCGTTCGCCCACAAATATACAGTCAATTCACTTTTCAGTGTGTCTGTGAAGCGCTTTGGTACATCCGTCCGACGTGAAAAGCGCGATATCAAATGCAAGGATTATTATTATTAAGTTAATGTGGAATCAGGTGTCCTTAATGTTCCCTTGGTGACTTTCCTGTGGTTCATACTCCAGTACCTTCGTAGATTGGTGTCTAAAGATTTAAACGATTAGACAGTTGGAATCACTTGACTATGCAATTGCTAGCTGTGAGGATATAATATTAATGGGGACAATTCAAGCTGTTGATCATTTGACTCAAATCTTTTAAATATAAAGGATTGAGTTCCAGGGCTGCACACCATTGATACTCAATAATTTCATCTTGATTTGTTTCAGTTTGTTTTGGTTTACAGTTGGTCTGGTGGGTGGATTTTGTTTTTCTTTTCAAGGAGGGGGTTGAAGAGAATGAGTGTAAAAGGGAAAAATCTTATGTTACGGAGGTTGACCTACTTAAATCATGCCTTACTGCAGTCTGATAAAAGAATGACATTAGTAGCAGTGATGCAGTGATCTGCAAACTACACACCAAGAGTTTGTTACATGGTGGTAATTAGGCGAATGGGCAGATATATGGCAGATGCTGTTAAATGTAACTAAATGTAAAGTAATGTATTTTGATGATAAAATACGGGCTGGAAATGTCTGTGGCAGAATGAGCTCAGTGAACTGAATTTCTTAAATTTCCATGCAGTACACTGAAGGACATTTAGTCACAAAACTCATTATTTCAATGGGAGAAAATTATGAATATGAATATGTAGATACTGTATTTTCAAAAAAATTCCCACGAATGGTTAAAAATTCAACAATTCAATCCCTAATAGTTAACTGAAACTGCATTTTTGAAAAGCCATTCATTTAACAACCACAACAACTTGCATTTATATAGCCCCTCGCATAGGATAACGTTTCACAATGCTTCAAGGAATATACTGTAAAGTGGATTGACTGTAATATTGTGGATGAAACACGACAGCCAATTGCGCACAGCAGTGTCCCATAAACAGTCGTGGATTTAGTGAACAATATTTTTTTTGAGGGATTACCACCTCTGGAGAGTGATCGGCCAATCGACTAACAACCAGGTTCCTACTTACTGCTAGGTAAACAGAGCGAGCAAACAACTACACGACGGGATTGCCTTGCAGATCTTAACATTCTTCCAAAGATACTGCCTACGACAGCGAGCGTTTCTTTCAGATATAACTCATGTGCATTATGAGACAATACTGTGTGTTCATTGCAGTCACTTTAAGAAATTTCCTTCAGATGTAACTAAGACCTCACCTGTGCACGGCAGCTGCGCAGACACTGGAGACTGAGGCGTACACTCCAGATCCCCAGACTGAGAGTTGGGGGTAGGCACAACCAGGTGGGCACAGCACGGTCACCACCTTCTCCTTAAGGCGAGCACCTCTGGTGGTACATTCAATGGAAACCGGCACTTTAAAGAACAAAATATTTCTGTAAGAATCACTGATAATGGAATTTAAAAGAGCAAAGCATTTTTAAAACGTTAAAATAAAGGAAAGTAATGTCCCCAAACAAACCAGCACAAAGTTACAACATCTGCACACATAATAATAATAATCCTTGCATCTGATACAGCACCTTATCACGTAGTTGAGACGTCTCAACATAACCATGCTGTTGATTATTTAAATTGTCCAGTGTTGTTCGCAATATGTTTATATTGCCTGAGTCAATAGGGGGAAAGTATACACCTAGTGAATGTTAGGATAGGTCTATACTTTAAGTGTATAGATATTAAATATATATTATGTAACATAGATATTAAATATATATCATTATATATAGATTTAATAAATATGATTGAATATATAGAATACATTACATTTTTATATTAAAAGTTATATTATTTTTTATATTGTTCACTAGATAAGCAACAGAAAAAAATGTTATAATAGGTGTGAGTTTGGAAGTCGAGTTTCGACTTACCTGATTCCTGATGTCCTCTTGCTGATGAGGTAAGTGTGAGGACTCCTGCACACATTAAGAGAGATGTTATAATTCCGGGGAGGTATCAGTAATGCATTTCATACAAACGAGCAAAAGTGAGCCACAACACTTAACGCTTGGTCCAGAACTCTTCCAATGTAAAGGCAACTCGATGGGAAAATCTCAGCTTCATCCATGAGTCAACATGTATTGTTTTAACAATAAGCAATAATAATTAATTATTGCTGAAAAATAATACACTGGATGTATTCTTTTTCCACCAATAATTCGGCCTGTCTAGCATTTCTAGGCCCTGTGAGGTCCCATTACTTTTCTTTTAACACTTTACTGGTGAGTTCCAGGTGATCTGTGTCTAATTTCAAGAAAAAGTACCTGATTTTCCTAGGTTCTTGGGTGGAATGTGCTGCCCTGTGCTGTGTTGTCTCTCCTCAGCTGGATGGTACAGTATTATTTGGAAACGGATAATAATACGGGACCCCTTACACCCAAATAATAATAATACAGCGCCTTATCGCTTCTTCGAGACGTCTCAAAGCGCTTCACAAAATCTACGGTCAAGTGAATTGACTGTATATTTTGTCAAATCCATCCCTGAGCCTATCCCATGCGGATTCGATGGTTGATTTTACACAGCAGAACCTGGACCTGGTTTGTTCAAGCGTTCAGATCTTTGGCAGCTGTTGGTTTACCTGCAGCCTCTCACTGAACCAGGTTCAGAAACACGGTCCTCACTCGCTGACAACACTGGATCAAGACACTTACCGACAAGAAAGAGAATCGCAGTGGCGAGCACTGGCATGGTGCTCACAGTTCGAAGTCTTTAGAGCTAGAGAGAAGGAGGGAAGGAGAGAGTGAGTGTGTGAAAAAAACACACAGAAATCTCAGAGTGTGAACAAGCCATTTCACTGGGAAACATTCACTGGGACGTCGTCCTGACGTGAAAGGCGCTTTATAAATGGAATCTTGTTGTTGTTGTTGTTGTTGTTGATATTAAGCGATCTTACATACAGACACCCTCTGCTCAAACACTGTACTGTGCAAGCAAAATAATAATTACTACTAATAATATGAAAAATGCAACGGTTGCATGGATTAGCCATTAAGTGATATTCCAGAGACTCTCTGCTCAAAACACCTTACAACCAGGACACCAGCACACTTCCTCAATGTGACAATAACACCCAGAGCACAGATCCTTCGTGATCGGAAACAGATGGGAAAAATAGATATCTAGTGTATCTCTCTCTCTCTCTCCAAATAAGATGCAGCAATAACAGTCCCCCTGTGTTAAATATCTCCAGCACAGGAGCTGTGGGATGGAAACCAATCTGTGGGGCAGAACTGAGCAGCTTTGAGCTTTACTGTTTCTGAACAGACCAGGAGCTGTGAGCAATGCACTGCCCTTGCTTTTACACTCAGGAGCAAGTTTGCTGTGTTTATTTCGCTCTCAGCTGCTTTATTTAGCTGCACTGACACGAAATCTTGCTCCCCCCCCCCCCCCCCCCACCCCACCCCCAAAGCAAAAACGAACGAAATAGCCACTGCAAAGACACTCACTTTTTTTTCCTAGAAAGTTTGCATCCTCTCCTCAAAGCCACCCACCCACCCACCCACTCACTGTACACACACACACACACACACACACACACACTGCAGAATCTTGTTAACTGGAAACAACACCCAGGTCAAGGCTTCCACAGCACAAATGCCCGAGGAACACAATCCTACTTACAGGTGTACAGGACTTCCACCGCAAGGGAGACAGACACAGGACAGGAGCTTCTGAAATGCACTGAGCAGACAGATGGATGCTTGAACCTCCACAGGCACTGCTGGACTGCGGGCAGCAAGTCAACTTCAACCCAAACTTCTCAAATTCACCTAAATACGTCTGGTTGCGTCACGCCGAGGCGTTACGAAAGGCGCAATTTTGCGAATGACTGGATTTTCATGTTAATGGCTGGCAGCCAGTCACCAGGCTGCCCATCATCTCCCTGGGTTTGGAGTTGGATCTCCTGTGGACTTGGGTCATACGCTTACACCAACTTGCAAAACAACGCGCTCATACTCATTTGCCTACAGGGCGTTTGCATGTTCAGGGGGTGACTATATATATATGAGCCTACGTTTGAAATGCAAAAGGTTGTGTGTTGGGGTGAGAAGGCTGCGGCTCATGGTTAAGGCTTCTGGGGATATGAAGGGTCTTGAGATACATCGGTTTGAGCAACATTAAGACCGACTGCGGCTCAAACACTGACACTGAACCGCACTGTGAAGGCGCCTGGACCACCTGGGTTGGTGTGCATGGTGCACCACATTATGACAATAATAACAATAATAATAATAATTATTATTATTATTATTATTATTCTTAACACACCGACCCAGGCAACCTTTGAACAAGTGCTGCCAGAGTCACGGCAGCTCGGGGAAACCATCGGTTTTCTTTTCTTGAAACAGTCACTTTCTATTATTTAATTCCAACCCAAGTTGCCTGTCCTGTTTATTTCCAGTGGTGCCCACCAGCCACTCTGCTCACTCACCCCCTCCTTTCTCAGCCTTTGCCAAATAACACTGATGCGATGAACTCCACTGGAGATTTTAAGCAAAGGTTTACAGAAGCACAATCAGAGAACGAGAACAAGAAGAAGAAGAAGAAGAAGAAGAAAAAAAAGACACATCACATCTCTCTGTCTCTGCCTCTCTCTAAAGTAATTGGATCACTGTGTTTCAGAAACATTTCCATTGCTTAGAGCATGTGAGATGGATCGTCCCATCACAGAGACCAGGAGGCAATGGACGTTAAATGACACGCAGTTTCACTTTTTGGTCGGTTTTTTTTTCTCTCGTCCACACGGGGAAAGACAGGAGGGAAGACACGTTCCTCTGGTTTGCTCCAGTATACTGTGAACTCACTTCTTTCAATGCACTTCTCAAACAGAGGGGTTTCCGTTCTGCTTTTGCAGCCCAAAGTGGACAGAAACCTTTCATGTTCCCTTCAGAACGTCGCCTTGGTTCCTGGCGAGTGACTTGTTGCAGGAGCAAATCTGCCCAATGTTTACGGTGACATTTATAGCTATTTTATATTTTTTCTAAAATGCACCTCTATATTCTGTGATCTGCTTTTCAGTAACACAAGTACTAATTAGTGGAGTCCTGTAGCTCATGGTTAGAGCACTCGCTTTGCAAGCGAGAGACCTGAGTTCAATTCCAGGCAGAGGGCGAAACCTTGGGCAAGTTTCCTTACTCCACACAGAGCCTAATAATAATCCCTCCAAAAATCCAAAACAATAATAAATTGGTCATTTTCAATCCATGACTGTTTGTGGGACATTGCTGTGCGCAATTGGCTGCCGCGTTCGCCCACAAATATGCAGTCAATTCACTTTACAGTGTGTTCTGTGAAGCGCTTTGGGACGTCCTCCCGATGTGAAAAGCGCTATATCAAATGCAAGGATTATTATTATTATATATTATATAATTACGCCTTATTTGCGTGTACAACACTGTGGACCAATACCTTGTGATTTCCATCTACAGTGAGACAATTAACTCGCAGGTGTATCATCGCAATAAAGTAGCCACACTTATTTTCACAGTGTTGGTACCCAACACAGCAATATTGCCTCTCAGGTGTGTGTTGCTGACCGGTATATGGCTCTGCAGCAGGTGCCCAGCCAATACATTTTTTTTTAAATCACACAGACGCAAACTTAATCAGGTCACATTTAACCATATGATTGTTTTACTAAAATTCTACCTAAACATAGGCATTAAACGGAAGAAATATTACTTTTTCCATTTATTCTAAAACACAATGCAATTATCACAGATCTTGCACAGATTTTAAAGTCAAGCTCAAGTTGAAAATAACACTTTCTGGATCAAAGGTCGGAATCACCCTCCATCCTTGATAAGTGCAGATCACATTGACCAGAGGTTAGGCCAATGTTTGGGGTATTAGTATTTGAAGCAGGCATCTCAGGCAAGTCTGGGTTCTCAGCCATAGTAGGTGCTACAGGGACTTTAGGAACCTGGTGCTTGTCAGCTTGGTTAAGCGGATCTGTCTTCATCCTTTCATTGATGTGGTTTACTGGCTTAACAAAGCTTGTGTTGTTCTCTTCTTTCAAGCAATAGAAGAGAGCTGGAACATTCGTGCGGAATTTGGGGCTCGTGCCAAAGTAGATGATGGGGATATAAATGCTGGCAGAAATGGTGATGAGGCAGACAGAACTACTGATGATGACCTGGACATTGTAACCACAAGCAGACCACATCGAGATAACTGCATGGGCGGGCGGGGTGGGGGATGGGGTGGGAGACCAGGCCAAGTTGAAGGCAGTACAAATCACGAAGGAGACCTGAAAAATAAGACACAAGAACAGTTACCAAAGCGGCCAAAATTAAGGATATAACACCAGTTGATATAATGTTCATTACAACCAAAGCAAAACGGATTAATGAGGCAAATGCGGTTAAGTAGGGATAAAAATAGTATTAGGAATAAAGAGGCTTTCAAAACACTGCTACAAGGGATCTGGTATAGAGGATTGGCAAATTATAAAGACAAGCAAAAGAAAGTTTTAAAAATTAAGATAATCTGAGAAGCCAAGAGCGAGAAAGAGAGTGTGTGATTGCCTTGGAGTCTGGATCAGGTCAAGGAACATTGAAGGGTTTTTCAAATGTATCTGCTGTAAACAAAGGGTTAAACAAAGGTCTTCCCTGAAAAATGACACTGAGAATACAGGAATTCAGGACATTGAAATAACATAAAACACTGTTACTTCACATCTATCTTTACTAAGAACAGGAAGGGACAGTTACCCAAAGTCAGGAATCAGATTTCCAGGAAAGCAAGGATCCTGTGTCCATAGATATACTTATACTGTACAAAGACAGACCATTTTTTAAACAAAGTTCTTTGGACCAAAACTTGTAACCATGAGGTTCTAGGAAATGGATACTGGAATTAATATTTTAGCTGATATTTTTGTATCTTCACTGATGGCAGAGGTACTAGGGGAGCGGGGGGGAGGGGGTGCGTGACTGCACTCCTGGTGGCCTTTACATGTGTTTGTATGGCAGCTTTTCAAGCAGGAGAGGCAGCGCAGAGAGTTGTAAGGTGGCACCACTAATAACCCTCCCTCTCATTGCAAAACCTGGCTCTACCACTGATCTTCACTGAGTTTAATAATAATAATAATAATAATCTTCTAGACGTCTCAAAGCGCTTCACAGAATAGACTGTAAAGTGAGCTGACTGTATATTTGTGTGTGAATATTTCTGAATATTCAGTTGTGTGCTGTGTGCAGAAGGAAATAAAATCTCGGTAGAATCTCAGCACCATCTGGGCGAAATGCGGCAGCCAATTGCACACAGCAGTGTCCCACAAACAGTCCTGGATTGAAGTGACCAATATATTATTGTTTTTTTTCTTGAGGGATTATTATCAGGCATGTGGAGTAAGGAAACTTGTCCAAGGTTTCATCCTGCTGGGAATTGAACCCAGGTCTCTCGCTTGGGATCAGGGAGGGTGGAGGGCGGGGAGGGCAGAGGTAGGAGGGTGGTCCAAGGCACGGTCAAAGAGGAGGGTCTTGAAACACGCCCTGAAGGAGTCAAGGGAGGGAGAGAGGTGGGGCGGGCTGGGGGGTGGACTTGCACCAGGCTAGAGCTGCTGAGTGGAGGGAGCGGACCGGTTTAGCAGGTCGGAGAGGTAAGACAGAGCAAGGCTATGGAGGGCCTTGAAGGTGAGGAAAGGAATTTTGAACTCGTTCCTCTGAGGGATGGGGAGCCAGGTGAGAGTGGGGGTTATGGGGTCACGGTGCCTTGTGCAGAAGAAGGCACGAGCTTCAGAGTTCTGGATGATCTGCAGTTTGTGAAGGGAATAAATATATATGTATATTGGATTTTCAGAAAGGTTTTGGCAATGTTCCAGACCATCTGTTTATAAGTTAAGGTGATAGGGAACAGATGTATCAATCAATTCAAAATTCATTTAGAAAAGAAGAAATACCGGAACGAGAAGTTTTCAAGCTGCAAAGAAGACTGAGTGAGGTCTTTTCTTATTCTTATTCTTGGAACTTTTAAAAAAACTCAACGATTTGAATAAGATTCCCAATCAATTGCAGTTGATGTTGAAAACAAGAGACAGATGAAACTACGTGGCAACTAGATTCAGGGAAGATTTGAATAGATGAACTGATAGTGTGGGTATAAAGAATTAAAAGAGTGAGCTGGCAGCAACTCAACCAGTTGTATAGAGTAGTGACCAGGAGGGTGACTTATAGGGCCTTGTATCAATAAACATGTGAAATAATTTTCTAGAAGTAAATAAAAGTTAAATAAGGATTGATGGTGGATTAGCAGAGGGATAGATTACAAATCAAAAGAAGCTCTTTTGGGGGCCAGACCCCATTTGAAATACTGTGTGTAGTTTTAATCAGCTAATCTTTGGAAGGATATCATTACCCTTGAAATAGAATAGAAGCGAGCAACCACAATAATGGCAGAAGTTAGGTTATGAGAGGTTTGTTCTCTTCAAAAAACAGGTGACCTGACCCAAGTTTTTAAGATAATGAAAGGAATTAAGAAAACGATCCAGAGAAATTGTTCAACAGGATGAAAGGTTTGAAACATTGATGGACATGTTAAAATTAGGATCTTAGAAAGGACCTGAAGCAGACTGTTTTATACAAGGTAACGAGATTTCTGCAAAATGTTACCAGGGAAGATATTGAAATACACAGTATAATTAGGTTCACAAGGTAAACAGTTTTGAGATTAATTGCAGGTGTTAAGATTTAGAACTAACTGGATTTGGGAATTTGATTGATATTTTGATCAGTACATTTGCAAACAAGCATCCTGGACTTGTGAGTTAAAGGTTTTCTCCTGAGATGGTCTCACAGTTGAAGGTAAAAGTGTTTTGCACTATGAAATGGGAGAGCTGGTCTGGAATGATGGCTTTGCATTGTGTTTACATTCATCTCTCCATCAGACAGGAGGCTGAAGGTCTTGGTTAGATTACAAAGCTGAGGTGCCGAGCAGAAAGAAGGGAAAAATAAATTATAAGGAGATGCCATTTCAGTACCCCTTACTTATAACTAGGAGGTCACTTCCTTTCGTTCAGGGATGAAAATGATATGAGAGACATTTGTTTTGGTTAACTCATTTTTCAAAGAATACTCTGCTACTATTAGGCTTGAATGTTTAATCTCTTGAATACAATTCATCAAGTCAAAGCTAAGTCCTTTGGTTTCTAATTAACTAAAGCTTGGCTTCAGCCACTTGAATCAATTGTGAAAGCCCAAATTTCAGATTCGAATTCAGCTTTGGGTCAGTTCAATTGTCTCTGAAGCCAATGCAATCTTTAGAAGCTCACCACAACTATGATTGTATTAAGAAAGTTTAAAGTACAGTAAAATCCAGAATGCAAGGAAATAACAGAAAGACTTCAGAATCTTGTCCAGTTTTAAAAAAAGTTGAATTGATACTAATTTAAATGTAAATTTAGCAGAGAGCCCAAAGTGAGTTACGTCCAGAGTGAGGCGAGGCAAGATAGATGAGTTAAATGCACAAATAGAAACAAACGGGTATGATCTGGTAGCCATCACCGAGACATGGTTACAGGGAGATCAAGGGTGGGAGCTAAATATTCCAGGGTATGTGGCGTATAGAAAAGATAGGCAATGTGGTAAACGAGGAGGGGGTTGGCCCTGCTAATAAAGGATGGGATAAAAACAGTAGAGAGGAAAGATTTTAAATCAGAAAAGCAGGAAGTAGAGTCCGTATGGGTAGAGATACGTAACAACAACGGGCAGAAAACTCTAGTGGTAGTAATTTTATAGACCCCCGAACAGCAGTCACAGTATCTCTCAAGGTATAAATCAGGAAATTAGCAGAGCATGTAGTAAAGGAAAAACATTAATTTGGGTGATTTTAATCTGCACATAAATTGGGACAACCAAATTGGGAAAAGTATGATAGAGGAAGAGTTTATAAAATGTATTAGGGATAATTATCTAGATCAGTATGCCGAGGAGCCAACCAAGCCATATTAGACCTTGTTTTGTGCAATGAAGCAGGACTGATCAGCAAACTGGAAATTAAGGCTCCTCTAGGGCAAAGTGATCATAATGTGATGGAATTTAGCATTAAGTTAGAGAGAGAAGTAGTTAAGTCCAAAGCATAGATTTTAAAATTAAATAGAGCTGGTATAAGAGAGGATTTAGCCAAAGTAAACTGGGAAATTAGACTTAAGGATTTGACAGTAGACCAGCAATGGCAGACGTTTAAGGAGATAGTGCAAAATTCCCAGCGAGCACGTATTCCTTTGAGGAATAAGAATGCCACGGGAAAGGTGGCCCAACCGTGGCTAACTAGAGCAGTTAGGGAAAGTATAAAGTTAAAGGAGGAAGCCTATAAAACAGCTAAGATGAGTAGTAAACCCGAGGATTGGGAGAATTTTAGGGAACAACAAAGGAGAACCAAAAAAGTGATTAAGAGGGAGAAAATGTAATATGAGAGCAAACTAGCGAAGAACATAAAGACAGACTGCAAGAGTTTTTATAAATATATAAAGAGGAAGAGGCTGTCAAAGGTAAATGTTGGTCTGCTACAGGCAGAGATGGGGGGAATTATAGTAGGGGACAAAGGCATAGCAGAGTCATTAAACAAGTACTTTGCTACTGTCTTCACCTTAGAAGACACTGAAAACCTACCAAGAATAGAGGAGAACCAAGAAGACAATGTTAGCGAGCAACTTGGGGGAATTAATACTAGTAAAGAAATGGTTTTAGGTAAATTGTCAGGTCTTAAAACTGATAAATCTCTTGGACCTGATGGCCTACATCCTAGGGTTTTAAAAGAGGTGGCTACTGAGATAGTGGATGGCTTGTCTTTGATCTTCCAAAAATCTCTGGATTCTGGAACGGTTCCCATTGAATGGAAGATTGCAAATGTAACACCACTATTTAAGAAGGATGGGAGAGAAACGATGGGGAACTATAGACCAGTTAGTCTGACATCAGTGGTAGGGAAAATTCTTGAGTCCTTAATTAAAGATGTCGTTATGGGATTCCTGGAAGACCATAACAAGATTTGGCAGAGTCAACATGGCTTTACAAAAGGGAAGTCATGCTTAACTAATCTTTTAGAGTTTTTTGAAGATGTATATAGCAGGTTAGATAGGGGGGAACCAGTAGATGTAGTATATTTAGATTTTAAAAAGGCATTTGACAAAGTGCCACACAAAAGGCTATTGTACAAGGTTAAGGCCCACGGGATTAATGGGAACATATTAGCATGGATTGAAGAGTGGCTAACGGGTAGAAAACAGAGAGTAGGGATAAACGGGTCATT